GCTTCGTGTTAAAAACTGCAAAGCACAAAGGGAAGAGAAATTGATGCGTAGTGTATTATATCTGTGCAACTCTTATTGAGCCTTTCTTTTAACAGTTTTAAATTTCAGTTACTGTGCACGTTAAAAACAATTTATAGTATTTTCTACACCCGTGTTTTGTTCTCACAGACACCCGGTAGCAAGTAACAAAACAACATTAAACTCCGGCAAGAAGATAAAGTCCTTTTTGCAAAATCATAGACCTGTATTTACAAATCAAGTATAATGGGAACACAGAATGATCTTGGAGAGAGCTTTACCGAGCTGACTGCTGTAACCGAACGCGGCCAGGGTTTAAAGGCTGAACGAATGACTGACAGCCACAGCAGAGAAAATTTAATTTAATGTAAGGACTTTGATATTCATATGTAGCTCACATTAAGCTATTGTATGGCTTCAGAAGTAACACAGAATAATTCACACAATCAGGAAAAAAATAAAATAAAATCTCGGATTTGGATCGGCCCTTCTCTGACCGATACCCGATCCGAGAAAAATGTCACTATCGGAGCCGATACCCGATATGAATATCGGATCGGCGCATCCCTAATGTAAAGTTGACTTTATAACCAAGATTCGCCTTTGTGCTTGGTTAGATGGTTTAAGTTCCGGCGTGAATGTGCTTTGTCATCATTCATAGTACACAATGAAGTCTAGTCAAAACCTGAAGCTCCTCAGAATCAATGAAACATCTCTGTCACAGTCGCTCCTCTCAGTTTGAGCTCAGCTTAGTGTTAAAGCTGCTTCATAATGGCTCTTTAATAAGTAAATAGAAACAGCTGTAGTTCAGTCAGGTCAAAAGAAGCTTAATTTAACCCTTGAACTCCGACCCTGCCCACAAGGAGGCATTTACTCCTAATCTCAGGTCTAAAACGGATCTCGCTTTTCCCTCTCTGACTTTGAAAATCACTGATTTCCAGACTTTGGGAATGGCGTAGACATCTGACGTTCCCCTGAGGAACAGAAAAAGTGAAGGTGACTTTCACTGTGTGGTTGCGCTCAGTCTTTCCAGACATGATTGCACATTCACTCATTCCACTCACTCAAGGGCAAACATATGTCTTGTATACTAATATCCCCCTGGCAGAAGTGTTTCCTGTACACCGAGTCCTCAGTAACGCAGTAATCTACTGCAACGTGTGCGCTGATAATCACAAAACAACCTGGCCTTTAAAGTTGCGATATAACTGCAACAAAGCTAAACATAAATAGCCTCAGAAATCAGAATTTCATTTTGCACTCCACCCATCAACAACAAATCTGTGCTGCTAGCCTCTGCGCTAGGTTCTTTGGTAACCGCACTCCAGATTGCAGCATTAATTATGAATGTGAAACGTATGACGTAGACAATACATTAAATTTGGTTTAAAACGAGATATGTGGAAGTTGCACAAGACAGTAAAGGACATCTGTCAGTCTCACACTGTTTTGAAATGAAGATTTAAAAGTCTGATATATATTAGCCAGGCTAATTTATCAGATATTTGTCTGATAGCCCTTCTTTAATGTTTTTGAATGGATTTCAAGTGGGTATTGTATAAAACTGATGTAAACTGATGTAAAAGCTTTAAAGGGGTCCTATTATGCTTTTTCACTTAAATTAAATTTCAACAATATTGTGTTAATTTGGAAAAAATTAATTAAAAAAATTGGTTAAATTGTGATATTTAGGGCTTTATTGACCAACATCCATCCTGCTCCTTAGGTGTCAGTCCTGTATTGGTGAACACATAACATAATGTAGCTGTTGGTTGTCAACCATTATGCATGACGTGTGTGTGTGTGTGTGTGTGTGTGTGTGTGTGTGTGTGTGTGTGTGTGTGTGTGTGTGTGTGTGTGTGTGTGTGTGTGTGTGTGTGTGTGTGTGTGGGTGAATATATATGAAAAGTTTTCTATTTCAAATAAATGTTGTTCTTTTAAACTTTCTATTCATCAAAAAACCCTGAAAAAAATATATCATGCTTTCCACAAAAATAATAAACAGCACAACTATTTGATAATAATCAGAAATGTTTCTTGGGCACCAAATCAGCATATTAGAATGATTTCTGAAGGATCATGTGACAATGAAGACTGGCGTAATGATGCTGAAGATTCAGCTTTGCATCACAGGAATAAATTACATTTACATTCTGATCATTATTTAAATAGAAATAGTTATTTTAAATTGTAATAATGTTTGGCAATATTACTATTTTTTTCTTACTATATTTTTGATCAGAAATAACGAATGCAGCCTTGCTGAACTTAAGAGACCCTGGCCCCAAACTGATGTAAAAGCTTTAAAGGGGTCCTATTATGCTTTTTCACTTTTTCAACTTTAGTTTTGATGGAAGGATAGTGAATGAAAGAGTCAGGAAGTTTATGATTAAGAAATTGTACTTTTTGATGGCAAAAACTGTCTGTTAGTGTATTTTTGCAACTAAGAAACTTAACTGCACAGCAATAAGGAGTCATTTATGTTTAAGTAATTGAGTTTTACACCATGAAGTATAGTATATTCTCTTAAGATAAAATTATATAACTTGCAAAGAAACTACGTTGTTTTGCTACGTTATGTTTGTTTTACTACGTTATGTTTTGTGTTCTGATTGGACCAGGAACCTCACGGCTGGCTGGTGGACTTGGTGAATCAGGTAAGAACTTAAGAAACACACACTGATAGAAGGGGCTATATTATAATATATTACCTGACATTAGACAGATCTATGTGGTGTTCGATGACTCTGAATATGTCTCTGGCTTATATTTGCAGTTTGGAGAGATGGGAGGCTTCACAGCAATTCAGTGCAAGCTCAACCAGGAAGAGATGGAGATTGGGGTAAGACTGTGAACTCTGGATGTCTTTAAATGTTAGTGATGTAAAGTGAAATCGTTATTTAATGCATATGTAAATATAATAAAAATATGACAATTATTGTTGATATTATAATTATTGGCTTGTGTGTGTCAGCCCAAATTTTGGTGCATCCCTTGTGAAGTGAATGCGACGTAATTATATTTAGTTGAGAATCGAGCAACCGAATTTACTGCGCTAAAACGTTGTTTCCTGTAATTGTGATTTCTGTGTAAACACAGATGCGGCTTCTTTCCTCAAAGCTTGTTTAGTGTAAATGTAAACTCTGCCAATGTTCTGTTATTTCCTCAAATGATTTCTTAGCAAACTCTACTGGAATGGACTAAAACGAAATTGTGATGTAAAGAAAAAGGAAACTTTGAGGGGAAAAAAAGGGTTTCAAATTAAAAACAAATTTGAAAAAGCTAAATAAAAACCTTGTACAACACCTTAAATATAAAAGAGCTGTTGGTTGCACACTCGGTACAGGCTACAAGTTTAGATGTCCCAGATATGAGCAGGACTGGCTATCTTTGGGTTGAGAGACCTGTTAGCATCTTAATGGAATTGCAAAGAAATGAATGGATAATTCATGGATAATCCATCAAATTATGGGTGTCTGGATGAAAAGAGGCAGAATGACTGAGATGAAGAGAGAGAGCGAGCAGAACGAGGGCAGATTCTATTATAGCATGTGTGCTAAAGAGCTCAGGATGTTTATCACCATCACGGAGAGCATCCTACTCACAGCAGACAGTGAGAAAGAGACGAGAGCAGGGGGATGAGAGAGAACATGAGATGCCACATTCATATGGCTGGGGAAAAAAAGCATTCAGGCCAGTTATTAAGATATTCTTTTAAACGCTATTTCTCATCAAGCCCTCTGAGGTGGTACGCTTGTCTGAAAAATATAAAAAATTTAGTTAGTGGGATAATGGCAAAAAATTCTACCACAGCTCTCAAACACCAATTAATGTTTTATAGGGACAGACAGATAGACGGGATGGAACACAAGTTGATTGTGAGTCAATAGCTTGTTTGCAATCACGTGATTCTGATGACACGCAAAATTCAGATGGAGGGCAGGAAGTGAAAAGCCGAATGGATGAGATGGAGGAAAGTCCGTACTGTACTGGTTTAGACACTATTACAAGAGAAAGGTATAAACAGAAAATCACAACATATGTTGGACGTGATCCTTATGTAATGAAGAGGAGCGATTTTTCAACTAAATTGAAATACTTCAATTTCCAGGCTAAGCAATTGCTTACCTGAACTAACCCTGATTGCAAACAAGCTATTTCAAAAGTGAATACCGCATTTATATGAGTACATGCTTGCATGTACAGGGTATGTGGCCGCTGGTCCTGCACATAAAACAAAACTTTTATTCAAATTCTGAATTGATTATAGCCTAGAAAGCGAGCAAATAGTGCTTCCATATAATCACTAAAAAGCTGTCACTCACTTCAATTTATTAGTGTATTTTTGCAACTAAGAAACTTAACTGCACAGCAATAAGGAGTCATTTATGTTTAAGTAATTGAGTTTTACACCATGAAGTATAGTATATTCTCTTAAGATAAAATTATATAACTTGCAAAGAAACTACGTTGTTTTGCTACGTTATGTTTGTTTTACTACGTTATGTTTTGTGTTCTGATTGGACCAGGAACCTCACGGCTGGCTGGTGGACTTGGTGAATCAGGTAAGAACTTAAGAAACACACACTGATAGAAGGGGCTATATTATAATATATTACCTGACATTAGACAGATCTATGTGGTGTTCGATGACTCTGAATATGTCTCTGGCTTATATTTGCAGTTTGGAGAGATGGGAGGCTTCACAGCAATTCAGTGCAAGCTCAACCAGGAAGAGATGGAGATTGGGGTAAGACTGTGAACTCTGGATGTCTTTAAATGTTAGTGATGTAAAGTGAAATCGTTATTTAATGCATATGTAAATATAATAAAAATATGACAATTATTGTTGATATTATAATTATTGGCTTGTGTGTGTCAGCCCAAATTTTGGTGCATCCCTTGTGAAGTGAATGCGACGTAATTATATTTAGTTGAGAATCGAGCAACCGAATTTACTGCGCTAAAACGTTGTTTCCTGTAATTGTGATTTCTGTGTAAACACAGATGCGGCTTCTTTCCTCAAAGCTTGTTTAGTGTAAATGTAAACTCTGCCAATGTTCTGTTATTTCCTCAAATGATTTCTTAGCAAACTCTACTGGAATGGACTAAAACGAAATTGTGATGTAAAGAAAAAGGAAACTTTGAGGGGAAAAAAAGGGTTTCAAATTAAAAACAAATTTGAAAAAGCTAAATAAAAACCTTGTACAACACCTTAAATATAAAAGAGCTGTTGGTTGCACACTCGGTACAGGCTACAAGTTTAGATGTCCCAGATATGAGCAGGACTGGCTATCTTTGGGTTGAGAGACCTGTTAGCATCTTAATGGAATTGCAAAGAAATGAATGGATAATTCATGGATAATCCATCAAATTATGGGTGTCTGGATGAAAAGAGGCAGAATGACTGAGATGAAGAGAGAGAGCGAGCAGAACGAGGGCAGATTCTATTATAGCATGTGTGCTAAAGAGCTCAGGATGTTTATCACCATCACGGAGAGCATCCTACTCACAGCAGACAGTGAGAAAGAGACGAGAGCAGGGGGATGAGAGAGAACATGAGATGCCACATTCATATGGCTGGGGAAAAAAAGCATTCAGGCCAGTTATTAAGATATTCTTTTAAACGCTATTTCTCATCAAGCCCTCTGAGGTGGTACGCTTGTCTGAAAAATATAAAAAATTTAGTTAGTGGGATAATGGCAAAAAAATTCTACCACAGCTCTCAAACACCAATTAATGTTTTATAGGGACAGACAGATAGACGGGATGGAACACAAGTTGATTGTGAGTCAATAGCTTGTTTGCAATCACGTGATTCTGATGACACGCAAAATTCAGATGGCGGGCAGGAAGTGAAAAGCCGAATGGATGAGATGGAGGAAAGTCCGTACTGTACTGGTTTAGACACTATTACAAGAGAAAGGTATAAACAGAAAATCACAACATATGTTGGACGTGATCCTTATGTAATGAAGAGGAGCGATTTTTCAACTAAATTGAAATACTTCAATTTCCAGGCTAAGCAATTGCTTACCTGAACTAACCCTGATTGCAAACAAGCTATTTCAAAAGTGAATACCGCATTTATATGAGTACATGCTTGCATGTACAGGGTATGTGGCCGCTGGTCCTGCACATAAAACAAAACTTTTATTCAAATTCTGAATTGATTATAGCCTAGAAAGCGAGCAAATAGTGCTTCCATATAATCACTAAAAAGCTGTCACTCACTTCAATTTATCTCAATCTCACAATGTTCCGTTATAATCAATGAAGCTCTCTAAACTGCACTTTTAATATCTTATTTACATCGGGTCTACGTGTGGAGTTTAGCATTGAGTGAATTCTGACTCTGTCTCATGCTGAATGCGTGAGAGTTGGCAACCCTCTATCTATTTATATATTTCTTTATTAATATCTTAACATATTATTATATCTTATATTAACCATTTGCACACACAAGCATTATCCCACTCGGCTCCTCCCGACCGCAGACGCAGCCACATTTTCCTGCATTTTTCAGTCAATTTCTTGCCTTTTCCCCCCTTATGAACAACAAATTTTCATACATGATACAAGCTCCTTGTGGTTTGACCGATTTGAGCATCCATAAACAATGCAAAACATAGGCATTTTGAGTTTCTGCTAGCGATTCCTATATAGAAAACTCACTTCCTGCCCTCCAGCTGCATTTCGCGCCATGCGTCATGTGCAAACAACCTATTAGATAAACAAATTTATCTAGATTGTTTAGATCCTATTTTTTCCATCTGGATAAACTAGTAAAAATAATTTTTATTTTTTTAGATAAACTAGATGTGCTAGAACATCTAAAAACAAATTCTGTTTTTTTGGGGGGGTTTTTTGGTCAAACATATTTGTCTGTTACGTCATGTTTTTGTTTGGTTTGGGTTTTGGCTTTGGGTTTGTGGTTTGGTTTTTGTTTTTTTTTGTTTGCTTTGCTCAGATTTTTGGTTTTGGTTTAAAGTAGGGCTGTTGCGATAACCGCAATATCGCAATACCGCGCTATTGACGAGCCAGAGGAACACAAGAACCGCTGCAACCGCATTATTTTTTCGTAAGAATACACCTAGGGCTGGACAATAATTCAATATCAATATGTATCGCGATATAATTTTTTTCAATAACGGTGATATGATTTTTAAACACATTTCCGATATTTCGATATACATTACCAGTGTTTCCCATACATTGATTTATTTGTGGCGTTTGACTTCGTTGAATAAACATGAGCACTGCACGTTTCAAAATCAAAACGCGTCACGGGTGTTTTATATGAATGTATCTCTGAAGGGAATTGACTGTCTTCAGAATAGATTAGATTTTTATCTGATAAAGTAGCGTTCATGAGCGGAGCTGAATACTTAGGACCATGTGATATTTCAGTTTTTCTTTTTTAATAAATCTGCAAAAATGTCAACAATTCTGTGTTTTTCTGTCAATATGGGGTGCTGTGTGTACATTAATGAGGAAAAAAAATTAACTTAAATGATTTTAGCAAATGGCTGCAATATAACAAAGAGATATATATATATATATATATATATATATATATATATATATATATATATATATATATGTATGTACGTATATATATGTATGTATGTATGTATATGGTGATAATACTGCATATTGCGCAGTTGAGCCACTCAAAATTACCGCAAGGGGAAATTGCTTCACCGCGACAGCCCTCGTTTAAAGTTTACTACCATCAGTGTTGATGTTTTTGTTTGTTTGTTTGTTAAAAAACAAGAAATGTTCCTAATCTCGTCTGATAGATACTGTATTTAAAAAACAAACAAAAAAGGCCAGACAGACAGATCGATTCTCAGAGTGTTTGACGGCTTCATTATTTTTAACAGACGATGTGTCTGCTCCCTCTTTAGTGTGAGCGTGTAAATGCTCCCTCTTGTCTTGGAGCTGTGAAGTCGCCTTGTTTTTGGTTCCGCCCGCTTGTCTTTTGAAAGTGGGCATTAGCATGATCTGGGTGCCAGGGCTGAGAGATGGAGCTGGCGACAGGGAAAAGATGCTTTGATTTAGGATTTGCATATTAATAGCCTTAACACAGGAGCAGGAAGTTGGAGGCGAGTGTAAGGATAGGAATTCTTTTCAAGGACACATACAACCTGCTGTGGCCACGTAAAGGAAGGATGTTTTAATCTCAAACATAAAGGGATGCCCTTCTACAGTAACCATTTAATTTGTAGTGAGGGAAAGAGAGACAGATGGATGCTCTCCTCCTCTCCTCCACTGACTGGACTGATTCATTCACTCTCTCCAATGGATGAGAAGCAATTTGATGCTGAACAGAGGAGTGATTCATCTGTGCTGGCATATATCTCTAAAGAGATGTATGCCAGCTGAGAGATGTTGTGTAAATGTTGTATAAAATCCCTGATTTTGTAGTTATGGTTTACTGTTTAATCAGGTTCCTCTATTTGGCCATTAAAGAAACGTTTACCTAAAAATGAAAATTCTGTCATCATTTACTCATGCATTGACCCTCATGTCATTCCAAACCTGTATGCTGAAAATGTAAAGAATCTTCTCATTGCACTTTGTCATACAGCAGCACTTGATCCACAGAAATAGTTTTTATGCCACTGCCAAAAGTTAGTCATACAGGTTTGAAACAATCATGACAGAATTTTCATTTCTTGTCAGGCTGTTCCTTTAAGAGGTTGCTTACTCTTTGTTGCTGTGTCATGTCTCCAGCTTAGACAAACATTTTGCTTTTAGCAGGGAAAAATGATGTATTTTTTTATTACTATCATAGTAGAATGTACATGTGTATATGTGTGTTTCCTCAGTGTGTATCAGCTCTGGTTCAGCCGCTCGGCGTGTGTGCAGAATACCTCAACTCCAGCCTGGTGCAGGTGAGTGTTTCCACAGCTCATCTGTTCTCACCCTGGAATACTCGATTCTGATTGGTCAGAAGTTCTGGAGTCAAGTCCGTTAATTAGGCTGACAAGTTTATTTCAATCATTTTGAATTTATTCTTATCTAGGTAAACTAGTAAAACCTTTTTTTTTAAATTTAGATAAGTTAGGTGTTCAAGACACCAATTTGTTTAAAAATACCCTGTCAGAAAGCTGAGAAAGCCGATAGATTCCATTATTTTCATGTCATAAAATTATTCAAGTTTAAATCAACATTTCATGTCCGTTTATTTACTTATTTGGAAGGTAGCGTGTTAACATCCTCTCAACTCTGGGCTCTTGATCGCCCTCTCTGGGTTTATCTTGCTCCAATAACCAGCTGACTGTACATTATTCCATACTTTCCTATCACGTATAGTAGAACCTTAGATATCTTCTATGTATAGTCAGATTTACCTGGTGTAAATGACAAAATGATATTGAATCATAAAGAATACATTTCAATCAACATGTTTTTGAACTGTGGTTACAACAGAAATTTCAAGGGCACTCTGCAATGTGACCTTCAGCTTGAAGTGGTTGGTTTTGTTGTATTTTGTAGCCCATGCTGGACCCAGTCATCCATAAGATGATAACATATGTGCAGAACCTGGAGGAGAAAGACCTGAAAGACAAGGTAAGGCACCTGCATGCATTTCTTCATTTGTTTTGGTTTTGTAGTGTGAGAGTTTAGTGTGAGAAACCGGTTTCAAAAAATTTTTGTCACACAAATTACACACCAGTGGTTTTTTTTGCCCTCATAAATGAAAGTGCATTTTGTTTTCATTCAGGGATTTTTTTTTTCTTCAGAGAGAGACAAAAATTTACATAATCCTCAGAGTGAAAATGATTTGCAAAATGTAGTATTGTTTATTTGCATTGGTATGTTGAAGTACAGTCCCATGCTTTAAATGATTGAAAAGTCATCCTGTTTTAAATTTCTGTAATGTTTGAGAGACTTTGACTTACCGTTGTACGTCTTTTTCTCTCTAAAGCGTTTGGTGAGTATTCCAGAGCTCTTGTCGGCCATTAAGCTCCTCTGCATGCGTTTCCAGCGGGAGCTGGTGAACATCGTGGATGACCTTCGGCTGGACATCCTTCTCCGAATGCTCAAGACGCCCCACTTCAGTGCCAAAATGAACTCCCTCAAAGAGGTTCAAATTCCTTTCCACATATTAGTGCTCTGGAGCTTAAAGTTCACGCCTGAGGTCTTTCTTCAAGTTGACGGCTTTGTGTTGTGATAGGTCACGAAACTCATTGAGGAAAGCACAGTTTCCAAGACTGTGAAGAACGCCATCGACACAGACCGACTCCTGGACTGGCTGGTAGAAAACTCAGTACTGTCAATAGCTTTAGAAGGTAAGACGGTCCCTAAATCAGTTTACCATATGAACATTCAGTTTCATATCTAACTCATATTGGACCTGCTAATCGTCTACTTTAATATCGGTTTACCATACATGGGGAAATAATACAGAAAACAGATTTTTTTTCTAAGATAAAATTCAGAGTTAAAGAAGTTAAAGTTTCTATGGTTCGTTAACTAAAACCATAGAAACAATTTTTTTTTACTTGAAATTTAAGAAATGTTAACTTAGGCCTGGGCGATAAAACGGTATCGATATTTATCGACGGTACACCTTCTTCGATAAAAATTTTTAGATATAGCGCACGATATAGACACGTACTATGAGTGACGCAGACAGCACACACAAACACGAACACATGCTGAAATTAGTGCTGTGCCTGCCTGTGATGAGGTGAATAAAGAATGAATATTAGTCGAATTTAAAATAAACATTTGAATGTTAGGTGTGCGTCTGGGAGCGTCATGCGGTGATAATGATGTAAGTGAGGTTGCATTTTAATGTTTTGTTAGTCTAGCCCACAAGACGTGCCGCTGCTGCGTTATTCATTCAAAATATTAGAGAACTATAGAAGCTCAATGCGGAGAAGATCTTGATTAGGTTAAAACCGAAACCAAGCCATTCACACAGATGCATATTCAGCGCATTTTTTAGACGGACAAATATGACTGCTGCACTCGCGTCTCACAAGAGATGTATAGAAAGCCATGCAAAGTTAAAACAGTTTAAACTTTTAGAAAAGACGTCACGAATTTGTGGAGGTTTATTCCTTTTCACTGCGTCTCGTATGTTTTTAAATGCAATCTGTGTGATGGGCGATTCGGCTCTTTGGATTAAGCAATGCATAAATACATGATGCTGTTTTGTTCATAATTGTTTATGCAATTTACGAAATTATATTTGATTTTTATGAGTTAATTTAGACCACGTTTTTATAGAGTTACTTGCTAAATGTTCTGCATTATTTTGCTCATTGTGCCCTCCTGTGACCTCGGGAGACAATTCGACCTATACAATAAAGACCTATTTAATCTGCATATAAAACATTAGAAATTAGATATTTGTTTAATTTTTATTGTTTGATTGTTAAAACAAAAATTTGTTTTGTCTCAATAAATTGTGTTAATTATAAATAGTGTTTATATTTAAACATTTTATTTCTATTGCTTTTTGTTTTAAAAAAGGTTATAAAAAATGTCAATAATTATCGATACCGAACGATATGAAACATTATATCGTTGATTCACAAGAGATGTATAGAAAGCCATGCAAAGTTAAAACAGTTTAAACTTTTAGAAAAGACGTCACGAATTTGTGGAGGTTTATTCCTTTTCAGTGCGTCTCGTATGTTTTTAAATGCAATCTGTGTGATGGGCGATTCGGCTCTTTGGATTAAGCAATGCATAAATACATGATGCTGTTTTGTTCATAATTGTTTATGCAATTTACGAAATTATATTTGATTTTTATGAGTTAATTTAAACCACGTTTTTATGGTTACTTGCTAAATGTGCTGCATTATTTTGCTTATTGCGCCCTCCTGTGGCCTCGGGAGACAATTCGACCTATACAATAAAGACCTATTTAATCTGCATATAAAACATTAGAAATTAGATATTTGTTTAATTTTTATTGTTTGATTGTTAAAACTAAAATTAGTTTTGTCTCAATAAATTGTGTTAATTATAAATAGTGTTTATATTTAAACATTTTATTTCTATTGCTTTTTGTTTTAAAAAAGGTTATAAAAAATGTCAATAATTATCGATACCGAACAATATGAAACATTATATCGTTGATAACATTTTTAGCTATATCGGCCAGCCCTATGTTAACTTTAGATAGATAGGTAGACTAGAAACGAAAACTATAATAGTATATCAATGATACTAAAAGAACACTGAAGAACAGATTAAAATGTGGACATCATTTAGCATTAAAACAGTGCACTTGAGCATTTAAAGCGGGAGACGGTAAGACAACAGCGTGTACTTAGAATCAATGTTAATTTTATGGACAAATAATTTTTTATCATAATTTTCATCAAACATTTTTCACTGACGAAAGCGAGATGATAACTAAATAAAAAACAGTTTTGAATGAAAAAAACAATGACAAATCTATTGGTATTTTCAGACTGGAAACTGAAGGCAGTGCATGTGGACACTCACACTTTCACACTGAGCGAATCATCTATGTGTTAAAGTGTTCAGAAACCAGAATCTCAAACTGTTGCTTTGTGCCTGAAGCCTTTTCACCTCACCCACTCATTTGTGTCATCTCTTTATTCAGTTGTCTTTATTCGACACGCCTCATTATCTTTACTCTCTTTGTTCTGTTTGCACTTCTCTTGAAACTTTCTCTTTTCCCCCTTCACTTTCTCTTTTGCTCCTCTCTTTCACTTTAATGCCTTTGTTTGGTTTAACTTTCTCTTTGCACTCTTCCTTTCGCTTTCTTTTTGTTTTACTTTCGTTTTTTGTGCCTTTGTCTTTCACTTGTGCTCTGTTTCTTTCTCTTATTTTTCTAAATGGCCTTTGTTTAGTTTTTTTGAGAGCAACCATCTGTTTTTTTAAACTATAATAAATGTATGATGTTATCTGGTGAATTTAATGTTCATAAGGATTTATTATTATTATTACTTTTCAACGATTTTTGGGGGTCTTTAGTATAAGGTTGCTGAGATTTTAAAGAGTAAAAAAAAAAGATATAATTTCGGTTTATATAAAAGTACCAATTCTAAAGTTGCTCAGGAAAAATATATTTTTTTATATGTTGGTAAATGTGATGGTAAGCGATGGAAAAACTTTTAAGAGGTTTTTACATAAATGGGTTCATAATGGAGCTAGCCTCTCATTTTAAGAGTATTTTTAATTGCATCCAGTGCTGTAATAAGTCTTTTTTTTTTTATTAAAAAAAATAAAATAAGTAAAATATTTCTCTTTCGCTGTGTGTGTGCTGTAGGAAACATTGACCAGGCCCAGTACTGTGACAGAATAAAGGGAATTATTGAGCTGTTGGGCAGTAAGCTCTCATTGGATGAACTCTCCAAAATATGGAAAATACAGGTGAGCTGTGTCTTCAAATCAGTGCTCCCTCAAAGCCGCATGAATTTCTGACATCGTTTCTGAGAAATATACTGCACAGAAAGCTCTCAGATGTCTTGAGACATTTGAATAAGAACTAAATAAATAGAAAGAATTTCAATTGGGGTCCATCCACATGGCCATTGATTTTCAGAATGGAAATGAAGCTGTGAACAATCTTGAGATTAATTCACAAGACAAGGACTGCATCCTATAACAGTACAAGGATTTTGAGTTCAAAGCGGCACTAACCTGATTTGCAAAAATAATGACAGTTCCCAAAGATTTGGAAGCCCACTGAGGCTGTGCATTGTTTTTTTTTTGTTGTTTTTTTTTTTTATGTCGTCTTGTCTCAAGATCACGTTTCTTTTTGTGATCTCAGCTGAGTATATTAAAAGTTATCAAAATAATTTTTTTTCACTAAAAATAACAGTAATGTAATAACTGGCATGGTTAGCCTGCCTTATTATTATATTATAATAAAATGTTTAAATTTAAATTAAGTTTCTATCATTTGTTTATACGTGCAACATGTTGACGAAGGATGTTTTGTGTGCAGGCTGGTCAGTCCTCCACTGTGATTGAGAACATCCACACCATCATCGCCGCTGCTGCCGTCAAGTTCAACTTTGACCAGCTGAGCCACCTCTTTGTCCTCATACAGAAGGTCTTGTCCACCATCCATCGGATTCTTTCATCTTTATGAGCTGTGTTTCTGACTGTGCCTTGTGTGTTTTCAGAGCTGGGAGGTTGAGAGTGATCGTGTGAGACAGAAGCTTCTGAGTCTGATTGGACGGATCGGCAGGGAGGCTCGCTCTGAGGCGACCACAGGAAAGGTATGTGCCGTCAACAATGAAACTGTATGTGCATTTCTGACTCTCAACTAAAACTGAACTGAAAGTTGGGCTTTGGACCCGTTTAGCTGCTAATAGGCTACAGTGCTGAAATGGGAACAGCCAGTGATTAATGTAGAATTGTTGAAGCTGGTGAAAGTTTGAACTGTAATGTATTTTTGTTTGTTTACTGAAATAATTGGATGTCTGTCAAATAGTCATTGTCGAATAACTGGGAGACAAATAATTGCAATTAACTATTTAACGTTAAGAGGTCATTTATTTACATGAAATCATAAAATGCATGAGGAATATAAATATAAAATGTATCTTTAAACAAATACTGTATACATGAATATTAAAATACTTCACAATATTTAAATATTTGATTCACACTATTTTTTGAAACTCGAACCACCTAATTATTATATTAGATAATATTTGAACATGGAGTAATTCTATAATAATATTGTTGTTGTTATTTTTATGTTTAATATTTCATATAAGAATTATATAATACAATCTTAATATATTCCTTTACTTTCACATGCCACTTGAAGGTGCTCTGGTTAAACTTCATTCAGGTTATTTTCTATATTTGACAGCAGATTTTAATGTGCTATTTACCCTTTAATATGCTAACACCTACACTTCCTTTATATGATTTTTTTTCTGAAATTAATACTTTTAATCAGTAACAATGCAAAAAAATATATTTCAAATGCTATTTTTATAAACTGTCTTTTAATCAAAGGATCCTGAACAAAACATATTACAGTTATTAGCCAGCACAACTGTTTCTCAACATTAATAGTCATAAGAAATGTTTCTTGAGCAGCAAATCAGCATATTAGAATGATTTCTGAAGGATCGTGTGACACTGAAGACTGGAGTAATGATGCTGAAAATTCAGCTTTGCATCACAGGAGTAAATGACAAAATATATTCAAATATTTTAAATTGTAATAATATTGCACAATATTGCTTTTTTCTTTACTGTATTTTTAATCAAATAAATGCAGCCTTGTGATTGTGGCTTGTGATTCAGGTGTTGGAGGTATTGTGGGAGTTGGCGCATCTCCCCACCCTTCCTACCACTCTAGTACAGCAGGCCCTGGAAGAACATCTCACCATCCTCAGCGACGCATACGCTGTCAAAGAAACCATCAAGAGGAACTACATCATCAAATGCATCGAAGATATCAAGAAGGTGAACTCATATCATAATTCCCATAATACCACAAACTCCAAAGACTATTGCACTCTTCACCTCTAGTGTATGAATGGATTTAGATAAATAACTAACATGAATATGTTTCTTTTTTTTATCATGTCACTATTATTTGTCGTTCTGTCATTATGGAAAGTCACTGTCTGGCTTGCTTCTGGTGGTCTAAATTGGAGTGAGGGTCCCTCACTCTCACACACATCTCCTGTGCTACTCCATCTGCTTTGTGCTCCTTCCTGAAGATCCATATTCAGAAGATTATGGACCATAAACACAAAATATGCATACATAGTCACACAGCAACGCAATGACACACATTTTCGAGCTTCCTGGCTTCTCTTTCAGGCTAGAATCTGTGCCGTGGGCTATTTTAAGAGCTGATCTGGGAGTATAAAGGTGTTCTGTGTCTGGCGCTAGATGTATATTTTTGGCAGTCTAGTTTCAGCTTGCCTCATCACACACACACACACACACACACACACAGACATTCAATTTGCTCAATCTTTGCGCTTCAGCCTCTGGTGTGATTTGGGTGCAGCGTCTGCCGCATAAACTCTTAGTGGCGCTCACTGAATACAACTCAAGTTTATGTCTTTAGATGCAAATACAGGAGGATTCAAAGTCTTCCAGCGAGACACAGGTCTCTTTTCTTACTGGCACCTGGGGCAAGAAGAAACCGAGCTCATTGGCTAAAGTAAGAGAAGACCTACCCCTTTAGTCCCAATCATAACTCAGCCTGAATCTCACATGAACAGAATTTAATTTGCAAACTGATGATTGCCACTTGATTCACGGGGAAGGACTGTTAAGATATGTGTGATTTACAAAGGGCACTTCTGAGGGTTTGATCTTCACGTCCAAATATCAGCTAATGACTTTTTGACTATTGACTTCAATCTGTTGTGGACTATTTAAGACTCTAACCAAAACCTGGGTTGTTTGATGGGTTAATGGTGTAATTATAATTTCTGTGATCTGTTAATTAAAAACAAACAAATAAATAAATAAAAAGGTGGGTCACACATATAATAACTTGAATTTGCCTCTTTCTGAATTAGAAGGCATTTTTGGGGGGCATATAAAGTAAAAAATGTCAGGGAGATACAACTGTCCTGATATCACAAGAAAGAAAAAAGGCCTCATTAAAAGAAGACAGTCATGTGGTGGTGCAACCAACATAAAGAAAAAAATGTTTCAAAATGAAATATAGAGAGGACCCCAGACCCTCAGGACTTAAGGTCAATAAGTCTCTCAAAATATATGATAATCTGACCATTTTATGACAAGACAAGGTTAGTTCAGATTGTAAAATATCATGTGGTGCGACTCCTCAAAAACTTACATTTATAATTCAGTAAATTTTTTACATTTGGAACATTTGAAAAACTTTTTTTTTTTACTTTTAGTTTATTATCTTATTATTATTGTTGTTATATTTTATTAGTATTTTTTTTTTTACTTGATGGTTATACCACATGACCTTTTTAGAGTCATTACATTGAATGGAAGTTGTGGGCATACTTATACGTCATTCACCCAGATGGAGATTACTGTATTCCATGAATGCATATTGTGTGTTATTGTTGATGTCACTGTGTGTTTATATCTGTGTGTTTGTGCTTGTATTGTAGTCGTCTCAGCAAACTAACCCTCAGACGGTGTGGGTGGTTCCAGCCTTGCGGCAGCTTCATGAGATTACGCGGTCTTTTATCAAACAGACCTACCAGAAACAGGACAAGGTAGGTGCAGACGGTGTCCAGACGGACCATCTGGCCTGTTCATTTTTTTCCTGCAAGTGGTGCTACTTAAACTATAAGCCTAATTTTTCATGCTTTTAAATGGCTTTGGATTATACTTTGTCGTGTCCTCTAGAGTATAATCCAGGACCTGAAGAAGAACTTTGAGATAGTGAAGCTGATCACAGGCTCTCTGGTGTCATGTCATCGCTTGGCCGTATCTGTCGCTGGATCCAATGGTCTTTCTGGGTCCACACTGGTTGATGGGCGGTACTCCTATCAGGAGGTGTGTTGTCACAAGTTCAATATCTCTTTGTGATTCGACGAATTAAAGCTCAGTTGAAAATAGATTTGCCAATAACTGTTATTAAGGTGTGAAAAAAGCTGAATTTAAAATAATGTGTAACAGTGCAAATCTAAGGTTTATTAGATACAATATTTGATTATTATTTAAAAAAAAAAAATACTATGAACCTTGACATTATTATAATAATAATAAAATATGATATTCATTTATTTTCCTTTTTTTTTTTTTTCCAGCGGTGCACAAACATGTAGCAAATAAAATATGCATTATTTTAGTCATCTACAACATATTACATAGGTTTTGTTGTTAATTGTGTTATTGTTCCAAAAAGGCGGTTGAGTTTCTAGTTAAGATAGTGTAAACAAAGTCTATTCATTTCCTCTGGTTTAAAGATGAATCAAATCGTTGTTTGACCCAAAGATTAGCACAGGACAAAAATATATTTGTAGACTACAGAAGTGACTCGTGTTATGCCTCACATTTGGTAATAATGAAAACAGAGTAGTTGTTTTTTAATTATCTATCTGATGTTGTTGTTGTTATCACATTTTTTCCAGTATTTGGAGAGTCACTTGAAGTTCCTTGCATTCTTCCTGCAAGAGGCCAGTCTGTACCTGGTCTGGAATAGAGCCAAAGAGATCTGGGAATGCTTGGTCTCTGGCATGGATGTGTGCGAGCTGGATCGAGAGGTGTCGTGTTGTTTTATGTTCTGTTTTGAGGTTGTTTTGGTTTGGTTTGATTTTTATTTTATTTATTTTTTGCTTTGCTCTGCTTGTTTGTTTTATCTTTTTTGCTTGTTATTTGTTTTATTTTGTTTTGGTGTTTTGTTTGTTTGTTTCAATTTTAATCATGCTGTTTAATCATGGTGCTTGAAAAGAGAAGCGTCAGGTTAAAGACTAAATGGCATTTTGTTATTTGTTATATTCACTAACTTGTTAAATATAATATGTTTAATGCATTTTCAGTTCTGTGGTGTAGAAATATTCCATAATACTCAATACATAAATACTCAAAAAAATGCTGAAATTTTGCCATTGCGACAAACTATGTAGTAGTTTTGATGGTGTTCAACTCTGCTCTAGATGTGTTTCGAATGGTTCACTAAGGGACAGCATGATCTAGAGAGTGATGTTCAACAGCAGCTCTTTAAAGAGAAGATCCTCAAGCTGGAGCCTTATGAGATCACTATGAACGGTAAAAGTTCAACCACAGAGTTCACTCAGTGCTTCCACAGTATTTCCACATTCTAACACCCTGAGGTATTACATGTCTTCTGTACATCTGCAGGAAACCACTGTGCTTACTGTGCTAAATTTACCCTCACAGAAAGAAATGGCCTCATTAGAAGCATGTGGTGAAGTTGCATAAAGTGGGACTATGAGTGTGTGAGTTTTCTGTGGTCTTTCATCAATGTTTTACAGGGTTTAACCTCTTCAAGACCTTCTTTGAGAATGTGAACCTCAGTGACCACCGTCTCAAACGGCAGGGAACACAACTGGTATGAGATTCCAGCTTTTCCTCAGTGAAATTGGTGAGGAAATCCCGTCTTGACAGGTGAAAAAATATGATTGTCTCTCTCAGTGCGTGGAGCGATTGGATCTGGCTGGGATGGACTTCATCTGGAGGATCGCGATGGAATCTCCAGACGAGGACATCGCTAATGAAGCCATACATCTCATCATTACTTACAGCTACATTAACCTCAACCCCAAAATGAAGAAGGTCAACATTAAAAGTTTAAATTTTTTTTGTGAGACTTGCCATTCCAGTTTATATATAATTTCTCTGTTAATTAATATTTTTTTTGTTTCTTTGTGTATTTTTTATAGGACTCAGTATCTCTACATAAGAAATTCATTGCTGACTGCTATAAGAGATTGGAGGTGAGTGTTACAGTGTGAAATTACACTTTTTTTTTTCTTCTTTGTGATGATGATTGTGATAAAGCTCATCCCTACATCACACACAGGCTGCTAGCTCTGCGCTGGGCGGCCCGACCCTCACACATGCTGTTACCCGGGCAACCAAGATGCTGACAGCCACTGCTATGCCAACGGTCGCCACATCGGTGCAATCTCCATCCAGGTATGAGGACTAGTTTTGAGGCTAGTTGAGCAGCTTTCAGATCAGCTGATGAGATCCAGCTGATGTTGTTGGCTGCATGTCTTAACATAATTAAAGCACTTATACACAACTTTTGTTAAACTTACAAAATTAGGCAAAACAAGCAGAAAGTACCAAAGCTAGAGCAGAAGTTCTGTTCCAGTCTGTACAGTAACGAACTTGTATCACTTCTGCTTGTTTGTGTTGTTTTTTTTGCATTGATTTTTGTTTTGATTTGATTTGTTGTGGTGTTTTTTTGTTGTCTTGTTTTTTGTTTTTTTTGTTTTCGTTTTGTTGTGTTGTTTTTTGGTTTTCATTTTTTTGTGCTCATTTGTTTTGTTTTGAACAACTCATATCCCACATTTAATACCTTGTCATTTACATTTACATTTAGTCATTTAGCAGACGCTTTTATCCAAAGCGACTTACAAATGAGGACAATGGAAGCAATCAAAATCAACAAAAGAGCAATGATATAAAAGTGCTATAACAAGTCTTAGTTAGCTTAACCGCAGTACACGTAGCAAGGTTTTTTTTTTTAATAATATAATAAAGAAAACCGATATAATAGAAAAAGAATAGAGCAAGCTAGTGTTAGAGATCATTTTACTTTTGTTAATTGTATAATAAAAGAAAAGAAAACCGATAGAATACAAAAAGATTAGAAAGCAAGTGTGAGTTTTTTTTTTTTTTTTTGAAGAAAACAAGCAGCAAATTAATAGAGTGCAAGTCTAAAAGGGACAAGTGTTTTTTTTTTTTTTAAATAAAGAATAGAATTAGAATAGAGAGTGCTAGAGTTAGAGGGTCAAATAAAGATGGAAGAGATGTGTTTTTAGCCGATTCTTGAAGATGGCTAAGGACTCAGCTGCTCTGATTGATTTGGGCAGGTCATTCCACCAGGAGGGAACATTTAATTTAAAAGTCTGTAAAAGTGATTTTGTGCTTCTTTGGGATGGCACAATAAAGCGACGTTCACTTGCAGAACTCAAGTTTCTAGAGGGCACATAAGTCTGAAGTAATGAATTTTGGTAAAAGGTGGCAGAGCCAGTGGTGGTTTTGTAGGCAAACATCAATGCCTTGCGAGCAGCTATTGGTAGCCAGTGCAAATTAATAAACAATAGTGTGACGTGCATTCTTTTTGGCTCATTAAAAATTAATCTTGCTGCTGTGTTCTGGATTAATTGTAAAGATTTGATAGAAGTGGCTGGAAGACCTGCCAAGAGAGCATTGCAATAGTCCAGCCTGGACAGAACAAGAGCTTGAACAAGGAGTTGTGAAGAATGTTCTGAGAAAGGGCCTGATCTTCTTGATGTTGAATAAAGCAAATCTGCAGGACCGGACAGTTTTAGCAATGTGGTCTGAGAAAGGTTTCTAGCTGTTTTTGAAGGAGTTATGGTTGATGTGCCTAACTGGATGGTGAAATTGTGATGAAACGATGGGTTTGCTGGAACCACAAGCAGTTCTGTCTTGGCAAGGTTGAGTTGAAGGTGATGGTCCTTCATCCAGCAATAAATGTCTGTTAGACAAGCTGAGATGCGAGCAGCTATCGTCAGATCATCAGGATAGGAAAATGTTTTAATTTGATTTTTATGTTTTATTCATTTAGTCACATCAGACTTGGTGTTATGCAACATTAAAATCTTAATTGATCTGAAGGTTGTTCAGAAAGATTTTGATATCTTTTAATATCAAGGTTGACATGAAATTTAACCCACTGAAGTTGATTACCATCTCTGTCCTCAGGTCCAGTAAACTAGTTATCATTGAGAGACTTCTGTTATTGGCGGAGCGTTATGTCATAACAATAGAGGTAAGAGCTGATACACATACACAAGTTACATACTGCTTTGCGTATCTGAGTGCACAACTTTATTTGTTCAGATTCATCTTGTGTTCAACCTCTTATGACTATTGCACTAATACTTATCTTAATGACTTAGTTTATCTAGTTTGAAAGCATCAGTCAGTCTCAGCGAAGAAACCAGCAATCTGTAAAAGTCAAATGTAGCAACATCACTGAACTACAGACTTTACGAATTAATTCTCTTCTTGTGTTAGATAGTTGTCAGACTCGCAGCTGTGGAATGATGAAGTCTGATCATTGGTTGACTGCAGCATTCACCGTCTCCCCGTTTCTCCAGCTGTTCAGTTCCATGCTGAAATCTGGCACAGATTCTGTCATGCCATTTAGTGCATTTAGGAGTAATCATGCCAGAACACAGCGAAAGGGATCCGATACGGTGTTAATTCCTGCGTGTATTCAGAAAGACGTTTTCATACCCGTTCCCTCTAACAGACACTAATTGGTCTGTTATTGACAGACATTTGGTGCAGGAAGTGCTTTTGGACTGTAGCGCTTTTGTCTAATCTACGAATTTCAGTAAATCGTGTAATATGAAGCTCAGGAGCTTATTGCTGCCAATTATTACACTATTCATTGAAATGCTGATTCATAGAAAACTGATTTGAAATTGCAGGTTTATTGCTGAAAGATATGCAGGAGCTCATCTAATATTACAATTACACTAGGAAAGTGGTTCAATTGCTTGTTAGTAAGCAAGAAAAATGGATTCTAGAGATTCATATATTATAGAATTAATTGAAAATTATATATATATATATATATTCAAATATATATTATAATAATGGGCTTGGTGAGATTTTTTAATTGTTCTGAAAGAAGTCTCATGCTCACCATAAGGCTACATTAATTTGATGGGGGGGAAAACGGCAAAAACATCAATATTGTAAAATATTAGTACAAATTAAAATAACTGCTTTCTATTCTAATATATTTTAGAATGTGATTTATTCGTGTGATGGCAAAGCTGAATTTTCAGCATTATTACTCCAGTCTTCAGTGTCACATGGTCCTTCAGAAATCACTACCTGTATTGTGTACAGTATTTGAATAACTCTTATAACATCTAATATCTTTTATGACAGCCAACATTTAAGTGATTGTATCGCCACATTGTTTTGAAATGGAAAATGAGTTTCCAGGTCAAAGCAACTCAACAGCAGGTCACATGGTACTGACTGTTGTACCGCTGGATCTGTTTCAGGACCTGTATTCTGTTCCTCGAACTATTCTACCTCATGGAGCGTCTTTCCACGGCCATCCTGTTACACTTCACATCACATACGAATCTACCAAAGACACATTCACCTTGGAGGTAACGTCACACACACACGCACTTCTTGGAGACAAAACCCATTTAGTTCTGGCACTCACGACACAAATGCACACACTTATGACAGACTGTAAGCAGGGTTGATATAAATGGAATTTGATAAACATTTCCCCTATTTGGAGAATAGAGAAACATTGATAGATGGCAGGTGAACGTTCGGCGTGAGAAACCGAATGTGATATTCACAAACAACGGTCTGTTGGGTGATCGTTCATTCTGTAGACTCAACTGACTGGTATTTGCTTTGCCTAATTTGAATAGATGGATCAATAGAGCCCTTATGTGTTTGTGTTCATGTGCAGGCCCACAGCAATGAGACCATAGGCAGCATCAGATGGAAGATAGCCGAGCAGCTCAGCTGTCCGGTGGACAATGTGCAGATATTTGCCAATGACAGCATGGTGAGTCAAACACTAAATGTGATGTGTTGTAGTCATATCTGAGCGGTGCACAGGAGCCAAACACTCCTACAGCACTGTGAGAGAATGTGGCAGCTATTATGACCCGTGTCGAGCCTTTGTTCTCGGGCCGTTTTCTAGTTATAGTTAACAATATACATTGTTTATTTGTATTGATTATTGTTACAAGTGTTAGTGTTATTTTTGTAAAATTTTAGTTTTTATTAATATTTCGAATAAGTTTTTATTTTTATATTTTCAGTTTTCATTTAAATATTTCTAAATAGTTTTAATGTTTTTTATTTCAATTTTAGTTTTATTACAGTTAGTAATTTTAGTGCTTCAACTTAACTCTTTCCCCGCCATTAGCGAGTTATCTCATCTTTTATGGCGCTTTTCCACTGCATGGTACGGCACGGTACGGCTCGGGACGGGTCACTTTTTGGGGGGTTTCCACTGGGTACAGTACCTGGTACCTGGTACTTTTTTTAGTACCACCTCGGTTGGGGTTCCAAGTGTACCGTACCGTTACCAAAACGTGACGTGTAAACTCTGCTGATCATGGATTGGCCGGAGAAAATCGTCATTACCTGCGTCACTGAACTTGCGACATGAGACACAAACAGACCCGCTAGATTTAAATCAGCACAGCCAGAGAAGGATCGAACGCAACCGTTTTGAACGAGCGTACCTTTTTTTAACAACCAAAAAGTGGCTGTTCCCCCTGTTGCGGAAGAACAGACGTTCCTCTCGTTGATAGCAGAGGAGCGGATCCAGCGAGAGCTTGATGGGGCGACGCGGAATGAAAACGTTTTTTTGGAGTCGTGGCAGTAGAGGCGGCGCAACTATAACGACATGTGAATAATCCCGCCCATTCTAAAGCGATACTAAACTGCAGTGGAAACGCAAACCAAGCCGAACCAAGCCGTGCCGTACCGTACTGAGCCGTACCGAGCCGAGTCATACCACGCAGTGGAAAAGCGCCATTAGAAGACAACGCTTCCCCGCCAAAGACGAGTTTTTACGGCTTTTCTTGTTTTCACTGTTATACACTAGGGGGCGCTATTGCACATCTTCTGAATGAGTACAAAACCTCCCGAACAAAATCACACGTGAACAGGACGGAGAAACGAGCGATCTCTTATGTAAACAGATGCATATGAAAAATAATGCGATCATCAGCAGTGGCAGCATATAAATGAAAACTGCATAATGTTACGTAAAATGTTGATCCAGGAAGTTGTATATGTCTGTGCAAGCTTTGGAGGTGTTGATAGAAGCGATTTACTGGATTTATGCTTTGATAATCGTACTGAATATTACCCAGATGTAGTTTTTGATAACAAAATAATTATTATTTTGCTCAAAATTATGCATTTTTGTGAAACCTACCTATATTCAAGTGTTGATAAAAAAAGAATGCTTTAAGCTAGAATAAAACAGTTTTTGTTTAAAAGTAGAGGCTCGGATCTTTGTTTTGGTGTATTGCATATTCAAATATTCATACAGCAAAATATTCTGGAGGCCATCAAATTTTAGTGAAAATCATAAAAATCGCTGGCGGTGGCTGGCAACTTTTTTTCAAAAATGCTGGCGGGGAAAGAGTTAAACCTATTTCAGATAGTTGCTAGGGCAAGATGTCTAATTTTCATCATTTTTCATCTAATATTTATATTTCATCAAACAAAAAAATGTTTTTAATAGTTAAACGTTGATTTTAGGTATTGATGACAACACTGAAAACTGAAAATAAGATTAGGTTTCCTAGTTATAGAGAGTGAACAATAAACATTGTTTATTTATATTGGTTATTGTTACCAGTGTTATTTTAGTGTTTTTAAATATAGAAATAATTCAATTTTTATTGATCTGAATTATCTTTGCAATTTTATTAGGTTTTGTTTAAAAAAAAAAGATTTCTAAATTGTTTTATTTTTATATCAGTTTAATTTGAATTCATTTAGTCATTTTAGTACTTCAACTTCATTTAGTTGCCAGAGCAATATTTCTAATATTTGTTTAGTTTATGTATTTAATCCAATGTTTATTTTTCCAATTTTTTTTTTATATAGTTTTAGTTTTGGTTTATGTTTTAGTTAACAGATTTGTTACTAAAATGGCCAATAATTTGGCATTTTGAAATGATCAACATCCAGTAACTGCCTACAGAAGTCTCAACTTCAGTGCTGAACTTCAGAACTTTCATTTAAATAATTAAATAAAGCTAATATATATATATGTGTGTGTAATAGAATGCAGAATCCAAAAGGGCAGTGTTTTAACCATTTTAATTAAAGTTCATATCAAACAAGCTCTTCATATTGACCCCTTTATTTATGGATTCATGCTAACCAGTCCTCTTTTTAAATTCCAGCTGACAATGAATCGTGACCAGAAGCTGTTGAATCAGCTGGGTTTCTCTGATGAGCAGAGTCTGACGGTAAAGAGCTCAGGAACAGGCACTCCATCAGGCAGTTCAGCGGACAGCTCTGCCTCGGCCAGCTCCAGCAGCAGCGGGGTCTTTAACTCTGCGTATGCTTTGGAGCAGGTACATACACTCACTGAACTGACAACTCACAATTTCCTGATACTTATTCAAGTACACACTAACTGAGCAAGTACACACTTGTGTACAGAATACATACACTACCTTTCAAAAGTTTAGGGTCTGTAAGATTTTTTTTTATGTTTTTGAAAGAAGTCTCTTATGCTCACCAAAGCTGCATTTATTTGATCAAAAACAGTAATATTTTGAAATGTAATATGATCCTTCAGAAATCATTCTAATATGCTGATTTGGTGCTCAAGAAACTTTTTTTGGAAACTGTGATACATTTTTTCTTGATTCTTTGATGAATAGAAAAAAACTTGCAGACCCCATCTAAGTAGTATATCTGAGAAGAAGTGTATCTCAACCTACTTTATTAAACTCATGTGTGTGATTGCAGGAGAAATCTCTTCCTGGTGTGGTCATGGCGTTGGTGTGTAATGTCTTTGAGATGCTTTATCAGCTCGCCAATTTGGAGGAACCTAGGTAAAATCCCACAACCCCTGCAAGTTATGCCATTATTTATTTAAAAGGATAGTTCACTCCAAAATTGTAGTTCTGTCATTATTTATTCACCCTCATGTCATACTAAACCTGTATGATGTTTTTTCTTTACTTTTGAATGGTCAATTTTTCCTTTCTATTTACGGACATATGTTGTGTGTATTTTGTGATTTCAGCTGACTTGTAATAACTGTGTGGCCTTCTTGTTCCTGTCCAGAATAACTTTGCGTGTCAGGAAGTTGTTGCTGCTCATCCCGACCGACCCAGAGGTGCAGGACGCCCTTGATAACTTTGTGCCAAAAGAGTCCAGCGTCTGGAGTCACCAGGTACCTGAAAGACACTCTTTGACTTGGATAATTGTAATTACAATTACAAGCTTAATTCTAAGCTTAGAAAGCAGTTTCCACATACATAATATGAAATGAATTATGGGAATTATTGAATAGCTTCGATGAGTTTACAATTTGGAAAATTGTAATAGTAAAGAATAAGTAGGTAGTTAGGTGAAATAGTGTCAGATGTGAACACAGGCTGAATGACTCAGCATTTTGAGCACTGTTTTTAGTAGGGTGCACACAGTGTCCTCTAGCAGACAGTAAATAAATCTCTCTCTCTCTCTCTCTCTCTCTCTCTCTCTCTCTCTCTCTCTCTCTTCCATCAGAAAACTCTGTTTACGCTGGGGTCTGGTTCTCAGGCCTCAAAGTCTCCATCTCTGTCCAGTAAACAGCAGCACCAGCAGAGTGCAGCGTCCATCCTGGAGTCTCTGTTTCGTTCCTCTGCCCCTGGCATGTCTACATTCAGAGTGCTTTATAACCTGGAGGTACATGAAGCAGTTTTTATTTTGATTCAGTAGTGTTACCAAAGTTATTATTAGTAAAAAAAAAATATTTTAAGTTTATCAAAAATTACAAACCAGCATTTGGTCCCAAACTATCTAAACCCTGTTGCCTATATTGGCATATACATCCCAGTTTCCTCAAAAATATTAAGCAGCACCACTGTTTTGAACATTAGTAAGGAGAAATGTTTCTTGAGCAGCAAATCAGCATATTAGAATGATTTCTGAAGGATCATGTGACACCGATGCTGAAAATTCAGCTTTGCCATCACAGGAATAAATTACATTTAAAATATACATTTTGAAGGGTAGTTTGTTTGTTTTTTCAAATAAATGTAGTCTATTTTTATGTTTTTTTGCTAGGAAATAAACACCAAAGTATATTAATTACCACATTTTTGTAACAGGGTTGCAAAGGTTGTAATGAATTTTAAAATAAAACTAGGGATGCACGATATATCGGCCACCATATCGGTATCGGCCCATATCGGCTCATTTTTTCTGTTATCGGTATCGGCCTGATAAGAAAATTTGGCCGATATCTTAAAGCCGATAAATAATGCATTATTTCCTTCAGAGACACTTCAGATGCGCGCTGTTCGTTTGCAGCCTTTTGTGCAATTGTACATTGTAATATTGTGTTTATTTGATGTATATCTGATGTATCTCATATAGAATGCGTTTGGTAAAGTTAAAAGAGCGCTTCAGTTTACCAGTGATCATCTTTAGCTCAGCACACGCAGCCCAAACAGCAGTGCACAACATTAATAACTATGATTGGGAATGTCGTGTATATAACATTCTAATGAGAACATTATTATAATAAAACGTTGTGAATTCTTTGGGTTTAGTTGCCGTGTTTCAGCGCGTTGTTATGGGAAGAGCGCATCCACAACAGGATCACACATTCTGACTATAGCATGCAATAACTGCGTCATTTGTCATTTCATATATAAGTTGTAATATTATGTTTATGTTGTATTAATATTAATCTCAGGATGCATTTCCTTGAGTTAAATAAGCTGCCAGCAAAACGCTTCAGTTTACCGTGTTCATTCAGCTCTTCAGCTTCAGCTTGAGCTGCAGCTCAATGGCTGCTATTTAAAACAGTGGTATTAATTTGTTACTTTTTCAAAATCATTGATATATTATTAATAACAACAACCACTTGTATTTTTCTCTTATTATTTTCATCAACAATATGGTTTAGTAATTAAAATCATTTAATTATTGTCCGTGCAGAGGCTATTCTGTTTTATTGATCTGTGGCGCATTCATTTTGATTCTTTACATGTGTAATGATGTCCAGTGACTTGTTTGCATTATTTATGCATTATTTTATTTATTTGTAAGACTTTTTTTATGACTAAATTTGGTAATGGGAGAGTAAAAATATTTTTAAAATGTACACCGTTCAAACTAGGCTGCTTATGTTGAAGTGTTTGGGATGTGGCTTTTAATGATGAGACCTTTTTTGTAATCAGGCTCTCAAAAAGTATATAACAATTTGGATATAGATTTATCGGCCAACATATCGGTTATCGGCTTTCAAAAATAAAGAATAATCGGTTATCGGTATCGGCCAAAATTTTCATATCGGTGCATCCCTAAATAAAACCATTTGTTTAGAGAACATACATTTTTTTAGGCTTGTTCTATATTCACACACTCACCACTATCTTCCTTACAGGTGCTGAGCTCCAAGCTGATGCCCACATCTGATGATGAAATGGCAAAAACCAGTGTCAAATCTTTCTGTGAGAACTTCCTCAAAGCGGGAGGTCTCAGGTAGCCGTCTGCATTCCACCCACTTTTACACTGCTCCTCATGTTGATAATTCTGCAGTCTTAATGTGGCTGTATATTTTGATCATTAATTCTCTCAGTGGTGCATTGTCTCTCTCTTGTCTCAGTCTGGTGGTTAATGTCATGCAGAGAGACTCCATCCCCTCTGAGGTGGACTATGAGACCAGACAGGGAGTCTATTCCATCTGCCTGCAGCTGGCCAGGTGCGGTCTCATTTATCAATCTGGCTGTCTTCTCTTTCCCTGTTTCTCTATTTTGTTATTTTGTTCACATCTTTTCTTTGAATTCGGCACTCAAAGTGATGGGCAGCATAATAATATTTCTTTAATATTTCTTTTGCGTTCTGTTCCAGTCTTTTTTTACCCAGATGAAAATTATAAACATTTTGTGTCTGAGAACATCCCTTAGACTTTTTGCAGTGTTTCTATGGTTCCTAAGAAAAATATTAAAAATGTTTCAGAATATAAAAATGATTTCAAATGATACAGTATACATGTTTCTACTGCTCAAGTGCAGTACCTCCACTGACATTTAGGGGGCCTGGTAAAATGCTTCTATGTAAGCCTAAGACTATTGTGAAAACTTCTAGATAAACATATACAACTATTCATGTACAAAATTTATTAGGAGAGTGCTGTAAACTTTCTAAAGTTACATTAAAGTCTATACGGGACATTTTTTGACCCAAAAATAACAGGTGTATTTTTTTATAGCTAATTTAGTTCTGAAATTTATCAGCAAAGTAGTTCCATCTAATTAAATATGCACTGCCATCCAGTGCATGTGTGCTTGTAATTTTTGTAAGTATGAATTTATGTGAAATATATGTAATATGTATTTTGTTTGTGATTTGTTAGAGTATTGGGTCCATTAGCTTAGCAGCATGCTAATGTCAAAGTTGTGAGTTTAACCCAAAGTATACTTCAGTTTTTACATGTATTTCATCATATGTGACCCTGGAGCACAATACCAGGCTTATGTCACTTGGGTATATTTTTAGCAATAGCAAAAAAAAAAAAAAATTTATTATAGATTTTTCTTTTATGGCAAAAATCATTAGGATATTAAGTAAAGATTATGTTCCATGAAAATATTTTGTAAATTTCCTACCGTAAATATATAAAAACGTAATTTTTGATTAGTAATATGCATTGCTAAGAACTTCATTTGGACTACTTTAAAGGCGATTTTCTCAATATTTTGATTTTTTTTTGCACCCTCAGATTCCAGATTTACAAATAGTTGTATCTCGGCCAAATATTGTCCTATCCTAACAAACCACACATCAATGGAAAGCTTATTTATTCAGCTTTCAGATTATGTATAAATCTTAATTTCGAATTATTTACGCTTATTACTGGTTTTGTGGTCCAGGTTCACATATAGTATGCGTATACTGTACACATGCAACCAGGTCCACAAGGTTGCAACACTGGCTGCCTGTTTTTCTAAGACCTGTGCAAAAATAGGCAGTTATGCTGCTTGATATTGCAAACTGGTATTTGTTATATTATTTTAATTTTAATTTAATTAATTAATTGTAATATTAGCATGATCAAAAACACACTTCTTTTTTTAGTGCAAATAGTTGTACCGTTTACTGCTAGTTCTTCTAGTTATGTGCCAATAGCAGCTAATGAATCAAAAGTCTCGCACTTTCACAGAAAATAGCTTACTTCTTCGTTGCAAAATAAGGTGGATACTTTGGGCTTTAGCATTTGTTAAAGGACTTGCTCTTTGTCTCCTCCTGTAGGTTCCTGCTGGTAGGGCAGGCTATGCCTAGTTTGCTCGATGAGGAGTTGAGCAAGGAAGGTCTGGACACTTTGTCCTCTCGGCCATTCCGTAATGCCGGGCGGCAGAGCGGCCGACAGCTCTCCGTCTGCGGGACTCCAGAGAAGTCCTCCTACAGGCAGGTGTCCGTGTCTGACAGATCCTCCATCAGAGTGGAAGAAATCATCCCGGCCGCCCGTGTCGCCATACAGGTGTGAGAGAGCATCCGATGCTTTACTAAATGATTTACTTCTGATCATCTCTAACTTCTCTGGTTTGTCATTGCAGACAATGGAGGTGGGAGACTTCACATCCACAGTGGCGTGCTTCATGAGGCTCACCTGGGCAGCAGCTGCAGGCCGATTGGACCTAGTTGGAAGCAGCCAGCCAATCAGAGAGACAACTAACTCGCTTCTCCCGCTGGGTGTTCGCAGCAGGGTCAGCAGCACAGGTGAGACTCTGATCGGTGCTGGATATCTCCCTTTTAGTCGGACTTGTGCATTACTCTAAATGTTCGTGCTCGTGTGTGTTGCAGGAAGTAACTGCAGCTCAGGCAGTGAGGGAGAGGTCACCACATTGCAGGCTGGGATATGCGTCAAACAGCTGTTTGTGTCCATCAAAGACACTATTATTGCAAGAGAAGCACTCTCTTTACTCGTCACATGCCTTCAGCTACGCTGCCAACAGCTATGTAAGAAAAAAAAAAACACTGACACATGCGAAATAAAGTCATCAAAAATCAAAACACTTATGGAGTCGCTTTGTTTCCTGTTCTCTTTCAAGCTTCATTTTACAATCTGACTTCTGTGAATGATTTCATCATTGATATTCTGCTGGGGTCGCCCAGTGGAGAGGTCAGTGTTTGCGTTGTAGTCCTGACAAAATTAAACTTGTCTCTTATTAAGTATGACCTAATGTCTAAACTCCTTCTTTGTTCACAGATCCGACGTGTAGCGTGTGATCAGCTGTACACTCTCAGTCAGTCAGACACCTCTGCATACCCTGACCTCCAGAAGCCCAACCTCTTCCTGCTGAAGGTGGTTCTGACAGCCCAACTTCCTCTCTGGTCCCCCACCAGCATCATGAGGGGCATTAACCAAAGGTTAACACTAAACACATTATTTCTTCTCTCAGTTAGTAATCTTATTTCTCTAAGTGTATAATGACAAATGAGACTTAAATGAAATTCTTACTATAACAGGCCCACAAAGTAATTAAAACACTGTGTAGACATTAGAAAAGAAATATATGAAATGTTATTTTTGCAGACTGCATATAAACATTATATGAAATGATGAATATCTACTGAGCTAAGCTGATGATCGTGTTTTTAGGTTGCTTTCACAATGCACAGAGTATTTTGATCTGAGGTGCCAACTACTGGATGATCTGACCAGTGAGTGTTCTGCCTTATTTTCATAATAAGTATATAATATAAATGTCAGTTTTCACAAACAAAATGTACTTTGGTCTCCCATTATTTATTTTCTGATTATTCAGTCATTCCATGAATTTGATTATAATAAATATAGTTCATTGTAGTAAAAAATTAGGTAACACTTTACAATAAGGTTCATTAGTTAACATTAGTTAACTACTTTAGTTAACATGAACTAAGCATGAACAATACTTCTACAGCATTTATTAATCTTAGTTAATGTTAATTTCAACAGTTACTACAGCATTATTAAAATCAAAGGTTGTGCTTGTTAACATTAGTTAATGCGCTGTGAATTAACATGAACTAACTATGAACAACTGTATTTTCATTAACATTAATAAATACTGTAATAAATGTATTTTTCATTGTTTGTTCATGTTAGTTAATACATTAACTAACATTAACTAATGGAAACTTATTGTAAAGTGTTACCAAAAATTATTTCTAATTATTAACTAATTTAGTTACGAAAACATTTTGCCCCACATTTTTTTACTTGCAGCCCTGTTTTTTCCTTATTAAAAATAATAGTAATAACATTCTTTAAAATTGTGATACATCAAGTGGAGTGTTTCTACAGCATGGAGGAAAAAAACTATGAATCTCCTTGAGTTTTCTAGTGTAATGTTGACTGCATTTATCATTCTTCAACCCTGTTACCCAAGTTATTGTTAGAAAATGCAGACAGATGTTTATTTATTTTTTTTAATTTATTATTTGAAATTTAAAATCATCAACTACTTAATCAACACTTAGTCCCAGACCTGATAGTCCCTATTCTATGATTACTTGGTTTAAGCCTATATTTCTAGCCCTGTTACCCATTCTGCCTACAGTATGATATTATAAACATTTTATATATATATTTTTAGGGCTGTCAAAATTAATGTGTTAACACATTAACGCAAATTCATTTTAACGGCACAAATTTTATTAACGCGCGATTAATGCAGCGTGTATTTTCTGTTTCAGGGTTTCCGCGGGTCCTTATAAAGGCTTAAGAGGTCTTAAAATTAGATGCATCATGTTTAAGGCCATAAAAGTCTTTAATTGTACAAGAAAGTCTAAATTTTGCTTTCAAGAGGTCTTAAATTTGGGGAGGGAAAGACAAGAATTGCAATATGGCTTAATGTGATGATAAAACTTCAAAAGGTGATTTCATTGAATAAATATGATATAAATGAATAAATATTTCAAAGTCAGCTGCTGCGCTGCTTTGTTTACAGTCGGAGAACCCGCTCTATTTTTACCGTTCCGACAGCTCCTCCTGCTGGCAGAGAATTAATTTGCCCATCTGGTGTTTTTGTTCAGACCAATGTGAACATCCACCCATGTTTTTATGCAGCAGACACGAAGTTGTAAATGTGAACTGGTAGATTGATAAGAAGATAATGCATTATAAAAATCTAAACAATTAAAGGGTTAGTTCAGGTGTATATGACTTTCTTCTTTCAGACGAATCCAGTCAGAGTTGTTACAGATACAGAAAAAATTGTCTTTGATATTCCAAGCTGTTTAATGGCAGTCAGCGGGTGTTGCAGTGCTTCAGTCCAAAAAAAAGTTAAATAAAAAGTGCCCATTCATAATAAAAAGTGTCTCAAAAGTGGGGTGTGAACAAAGACCTCCTGTAGCGAATCGATGCGTTTTTGTAAGAAAAATATCCGTATTTAAAACGTAATAATCAATTTAATCTAGCTTGCGCTCACTGTTGTAAACGGAAGCAGTTCCGGGCGGATGACGTATGGAGGTCGTCTTTCTGCATGCGCCGCTCAGAAGTAACGAACGCGGAAGCACAGGGGAGAGATCAAAACAAAACAACGTTCACGAATTAGAAGTACAAAACGAGGATTTGTAAAGAAGAATGTCGGAGGATTTCAATATAAGCCAAGAGGAGACTGGTTTTCCTTTGCTAAAGTAAGGAAACTTTGCTTCCTTTGCGCCTGTTAACACTTTAATTCCGTATTGTGACGTACTTCCGAGAGGAATTAAATATTGAATGAGAAAATCAGAGGGCGTGGCTTGTTTTCTACTACAAACTTATTGGATGTAGTAAAGTAGGCGGTTTCATTCAGAACAACACTGACAGTTGGAGGGGCGTGTTTAAGGATGTTATGCTCAAGCCCAAGCCGTCAAACTGACGCCATCAGAGGAGGTCCGTCATTTCAGAGGGGAGGTGCATTTTCAGATTTGGATTAAAGAATACGAAGGCAAACTAAATTTTTTTTTGGTGGATTGACTTGCACGGATGAATTGTTCACCATAAAAATAACATTGTGCGCTAACAAAATAAATAGTCAATTTTGATTTCATGTGTACTTTAAAAACTTAAAAGGTATTAGTTGAAGGTACATTTAGAACAGATAAAAATGTGCGATTAAGTTGCGAATAATCACGTGTTAACTCATGACAATCATGCGATTAATCGCAATTAAATATTTTAATCGATTGACAGCCCTAATATTTTTACATTTATTTACATTTCCTATAAAAAAAATCATTGAGTTATTTTGTTGTTTTTATTGCTAGAAAAGACCAGTGACCAACTATATTCATGATTTCGGTATCAGGGTTATAAATATTGAAAATGAATGGAGCATTAAATAAAAAGCTTGATGATCAATATTTATATGAGATTATCAATATTTTATGAACGTCAACTAAACGGTTCACTAAATCATTTGCTCAATGCTGTTTTGTTCCCTCTATATAAGTTCCAAATGGATCATGCGATTAATCGCAATTAAATATTTTAATCGATTGACAGCCCTAATATTTTTACATTTATTTACATTTCCTATAAAAAAATCATTGAGTTATTTTGTTGTTTTTATTGCTAGAAAAGACCAGTGACCAACTATATTCATGATTTCGGTATCAGGGTTATAAATATTGAAAATGAATGGAGCATTAAATAAAAAGCTTGATGATCAATATTTATATGAGATTATCAATATTTTATGAACGTCAACTAAACGGTTCACTAAATCATTTGCTCAATGCTGTTTTGTTCCCTCTATATAAGTTCCAAATGTATCTTTCAGGGAGTGACACTTGCTTTTGTCCTGCGGAATTTAAGAACAATTTTTGGATTCCTTTGGAAAAGCTCATATGTTTCATGTTCTCAGCATCAGAAATGGAGCAGCTTCAGATCGGCCCTGCGGCCATGCTGGAGGACGAGATCAGCTGGCTTGATAATTTCGAGCCCACTTGGACCAACGAGCTGGAGACCAGCGAGGCCGACAACATCCTGCTGGCTGGACACCTGCGCCTCATTAAAACCCTGCTGTCCCTCTGCGGCAGTGAGGCCCTAATATTTTTACATTTATTTACATTTCCTATAAAAAAATCATTGAGTTATTTTGTTGTTTTTATTGCTAGAAAAGACCAGTGACCAACTATATTCATGATTTCGGTATCAGGGTTATAAATATTGAAAATGAATGGAGCATTAAATAAAAAGCTTGATGATCAATATTTATATGAGATTATCAATATTTTATGAACGTCAACTAAACCGTTCACTAAATCATTTGCTCAATGCTGTTTTGTTCCCTCTATATAAGTTCCAAATGTATCTTTCAGGGAGTGACACTTGCTTTAGTCCTGCGGAATTTAAGAACAATTTTTGGATTTTTGGAAAAGCTCATATGTTTCATGTTCTCAGCATCAGAAATGGAGCAGCTTCAGATCGGCCCTGCGGCCATGCTGGAGGACGAGATCAGCTGGCTTGATAATTTCGAGCCCACTTGGACCAACGAGCTGGAGACCAGCGAGGCCGACAACATCCTGCTGGCTGGACACCTGCGCCTCATTAAAACCCTGCTGTCCCTCTGCGGCAGTGAGAAAGAGCAGTTCGGTCAGCCACTTTTCAGATAAATATGACAGCATGGTATGCATATGAAGAGCCGGATGTGGAGTAAACTGGTCTTCTTGTTAATGTTCTGCAGGTCCTTCTCTGATCCAGCAACTGTTGGACGACTTCTTGTTCAGAGCGTCACGAATCATCCTGAACAGTGACAGCTCATCTAGCACTACAGCATCTATCCACGACTTTCACCCAAAGTAAGAGGAAAAAAGCATACATTTAAAGGGTCATGAAACCAGAGGGTGATGCGAGGAGACAGACAACACACACAGCTTCGCATTCAGACAGTTTAATTTCGCTCCCATCGAGTTAAAAACATAAATAAATGCACAGCCATTTGCACTCTGCATCGAAAACATATACACGTGAACACGCTGTTGCACCTCTGAGAACTTTTAAGGCTTATTGTGTGGCCTTTATATAAGCCTTTTGACGGGTTGTGTCACAGAGCTGTAAAAACGGTTATGCTCACCAAGTGAATGAATCGCGTTTGTGCCGAACTCTTACAAAGCAAAAACAAACACTCTTCTTCGATCCATGAACGTTTCTCTCAGTTAATGTACGCGATGTCATCTCACAGTCTGAAACGTCTGGCAAATCAACACATGCTGTTGTGAATAATTAAGCGAAGCGTCTTCTCATAGGATAAGAACGCGCAGTCTCATGAATAACTTAATAGACACTGACGCGTCATCGATGTACTACAGTCCATTGCCACGTGACGTCAACACAATGAATATTTTAAACCCGGAAGATGAAAATAGCGCAAAAAAGCTTAAAATTAACCAGTTTTCTCCAACAGTTAAAATTATCGGATGCTAACATTGTCTTCTATGATGTGCAACGCAAACACCTCTGCTAAAATCTCAGAAAAAGTAGTCTGGGGTTTCATGACCCTTTAAACACATTGTTTGTTGTTTAAAGGGTCATGAAAGTTGTCAAGAAAGTTGCAAGTTGCTACAACTGTCTTTAGTAATTGTGTCTGTGTCTCAGGTGCAGTACGGTCAGCAGTCGTCTGGCGGCGTACGAGGTGCTGGTCATGTTGGCCGACAGCTCTCTTACTAACCTGCAGCTCATCACTAAAGAACTGTTGTCCATGCACCACCAATCTGACCCATCTCTCACCAAAGAGTTCGACGTGAGTCCCCTCACCAGTCCTTATATCTCTTGGATGTAGTAGAAATTATTTTTAATTGCCCTGCTCTTCTATAAGGACTTACAACAGATACTTGCGTTCATTTCTGTCATTGTGTGTGTGTTGGCAGTATCTTCCTCCTGTAGACAGTCGTTCTGTGTCTGGGTTTGTGGGACTGAAGAACGGTGGTGCAACCTGCTACATGAATGCAGTGTTCCAGCAGCTCTACATGCAGCCTGGTTTGCCTGAGGTAAATGTTGCTCTCTTATTATCACTAGTGTAAGGTTAGCACACTCTCTCACCACTAGGTGAAGCCCTAACCTAGAAGTAGTAGGAGTGAACTGGATAGAGGAAGTGTTTATTGCTGTATTGTGTTTGTGTGACATAGTTTGTTTTAAAATGTAATTTCTTCATATTTGAAAATACATATTTTTTTCATTAGTTTTAGTGTAGTTTTTTTAATACATTAGCACCACAAATTGTTCCATCTACCTATGGTGACGCATAATACACTATTAAAAACATCATACTCAATACTGCAGTGAGTGAATCCAATATTTACGGATAGTCAGAAGTCAGCATTGAAAATATTGAAACTGAAGTTATTTTCATTGCAGTTCTATTTCGGGGTTTTTTTTTATCCTATTTGTTCACTACATTTATAGTTTCTGAACTTTTTCAAGCTCTCATTTATATGTGTGTGTGTGTATATATATATATATATATATATATATATATATATATACACACACACACTGCCATTCAAAAAAAATTTATTTTCTTATTTTCTTATGTTTTTTACAGGAGTCTCTTTTGCTAATCAAGGCTGCATTTATTTGATCAAAAATACAAGAAAAAATGTAATATTGTGAAATATTATTATAATGTAAAATAACGTTTTTCTATTTTAATATACATTAAAATATAATTTATTTCTGTGATGCGCAGCTGTATTTTCAGCATCATTACTCCAGTCTTCAGTGTCACATGATCTTCAGAAATCATAATAATATGCTGATTTATTATCAGAGCTGGAAACTGTTGCTGCGTCATATTTTTTTGGAACCGGTGATATTTTTTTCAGGATTCTTTGATGAATAAAAAGTTAAAATATATATATATATATATATATATATATATATACACACACACACTGCCATTCAAAAAATTTTTATTTTCTTTTAAATAACACTTTTATTCAGCAAGGACACGTTAAATTGATCAAAATACATTTATAATGTGTCAAAATATTGTTGTTTTTAATTAAATTGTTCTTTTGAAGTTTCCATTCATTAAAAAAAGTCCTGGAAAAATTTCATATTTTCCACAAAAATATTAAGCAGCACAACTGTTTTCAACATTGATAATAATAAGATAATGTTTTTGAGCAACAAATCAGTATATTAGAGGGATTTCTGAAGGATCGTGTGACACTGAAGACTGTCATTTTAGAAAACTTATTTTAAATTATTATAATATTTCACAATATTACTATATTTTTCATTAAATAAATGCAGTCTTGGTGAGTATAAGAGACTTTCAAAAACATCTTACTGGCCCCAAACATTTGAATGGTAGTATATTACTGACTACAATACTAATATTTTAACTCAATTATTTATTTATTTTTCAGTTTTTGTGTAACAACTTTTTTTTGGAGTTTGTCTTTATAATAGGTTAACAATATTAACCTTGTGTATGTTATAGGCTGTCTTGTCAATTGAAGATGACATTGAAAACCCAGAGGAGAGTGTGTTCTGTCAGGTGCAGTCTCTGTTTGGTCACCTGATGGAGAGCAAACTACAGTACTACATACCTGAGAACTTCTGGAAGGTGAGATCTACCTTTATGATTTGCCTGGAAACGTTCGACATGCACACAGTGAACTGAATTTCGAATAAACGCTGCCAAATGTCTAAAATACTAAAGAGAAATTTCTAATTCTAAATCAATTTGAGATGCTTACATGAAAGTCATGCATATTTAGAATGCACTGTATTGTTGTAATGTATTTATATATATATATATATATATATAATTTATTTATTTTATTTTTTTTTCCAGTTAATGTTTATTTTTTATTTCAAGTAATGAAAATGTACTTCATTGTTCTCATCACTTGGTTGATCTTGATGCAGATATTTAAGATGTGGAATAAAGAATTATATGTACGAGAACAGCAGGACGCCTATGAGTTCTTCACCAGTCTGGTGGATCAGCTTGATGAACATCTAAAGGTACAGCTCACCTGATGTCCCCTGCAAACTCAAATTCTCATACACAGTCTGAGGTGTGTTTGTAATTCGCCTAATGTTTTCCTCATAGAAAATCGGTCGAGAGCAGATCTTCAAAAACACATTCCAGGGCATTTTCTCTGATCAGAAGATATGTAAAGACTGCCCACACAGGTAAGCCTTAAAGGAACAGCTCATAGTGTACTCGCTCACATATCATTCCAAAACCATTTTCTCAAGAAGACTTCTTAACAACATTGACTTGGGTATGGTTTTTAGGTACGAGCGCGAGGAGACGTTCATGGCTCTGAACTTGGGGGTGACATCCTGTCAGAGTCTGGAGATCTCTCTCGATCAGTTCGTCAGAGGAGAGGTCCTGGATGGCAGCAATGCTTATTACTGCGAGAAATGTAAAGAGAAGGTACAGTCTGATGTGTTCTCATTCATAAAGACCTGCAGGGAAATACAGCTGTATGTTGTGCTCACACATTCTGTGTTGCAGCGTATCACAGTGAAGCGGACCTGTATAAAGTCTCTGCCCAGCGTGCTGGTCATCCACCTCATGCGATTCGGCTTTGACTGGGAAAGCGGCCGGTCCATCAAATACGATGAGCAGATCCGAGTAAGACTATACGCAGCTGCAGCTCTGCTTCAGTTCACATGTTATGTAGTGCTGGCCTGCAACTGATAGCTTATCAAAAAATTATTAATTTGTTGATTATTTCCTTATACTACCATTTGGGGTTGGTAAGATTTTTTTAAATGTTTTTGAAAGAAGTCTATTATTTAATAAAAAATACAGGAAAAGCGGTAATATTGTTAAATATTGCAATTTAAAATAACTTTTCTTTTTGAATATTTTTTATTATTATTTTTTTTTTTTAATTTCATTTTTTTGTGATTAAGCTATAACGTTTCTGCATTTATACAAAATGTATTTAGACTACTGTTTTTCATACAGATACTTAGAAACCATGTAGTTATATTTTAACCATGCTATATGTGTGGATTTAACTGTGGTTATCATGATCTAAATGTATGCTACTATGGAAGACAAATGGTTAATTTGTATAAAACTCAAACAGTTAAATTTCACCATATAAAAATGAGGTTGTTACAATTTTTACAGGCTTTACTGTTTTTAATAGTGAACATAAATTTACATCTGCATCCTAACTCAAGCTACTACTACTGTCAGATCAAGTTTGCACCTTTCATGTACTTTACTGATAATGCAAGTGCAGGTAGGCAGACACTCGCACAAATGCGACCACGACAAATTTTAACGCGCATATTTAAAAAAATGGTTGCAGTCTAGAACCTAATTTTATTCCTGTAATGGCAAAGCTGAATTTTCAGCATCATTACTCCAGTTTTCAGTGTCACATGATCCTTCAGAAATCATTCTAATATGTGCTCAAGAAACATATTATCAATGTTGAAAACAATTGTGCTGCTTCATATTTTTGTGGAAATCATCATACTTTTTTTTTTTTTTGATGAACTAAAAGTTCATAAGCATTTTCTTGATAGAGAATTTACTTTCGCAACAATGTAAAAATATTTACTGTTACTTCTAATCAATTTAATGCATCCTTGCTGAATAAAAGTATACATAAAAAAAAATCTTACTGACCCCAGGTATTTGAATGTTAGTATATAAAGGATTTGCATCTATTTCAATAATTTGTGTTCATTTTTAGTTCCCCTGGGTGCTGAACATGGAGCCGTACACAGTGTCAGGAATGGCCCGTCAAGATTCAAGTGCAGATCATGGAGAGAACGGGAGAGGGGGCGAGGCCGGATCCGGGGGATCGCCTCGGAAGAAGGTCACTATCTCTGAGAACTATGAACTGGTGGGAGTGGTGGTCCACAGCGGACAGGCCCATGCAGGACACTATTACTCATTCATCAAAGACCGCCGGTGAGATTGCAAGAGAGAGTGTCTATTAACGTGTTTTTGGGGTTTTCTGGGTGGATGCTCGGTGTTTACTTGCTGGCCCAAGTTAAAGGAGAGAGTTTGATGACTTGGTTTGAGAGTTTGATGAAGATGGTAGTACACCTCTTCTTATCAGGCCTTACCATTTACACCAGGATTTTCCAAACTCGGATGTGTGAGTTGATTAATATTTAGTTTAGTTATGAAACTCTAGGCTGATAGATCCTATACATGCAGTCTGCTAGCAATAACATAATTTACTGCATGGCACATGTTGATTGGCCTCTGCTGCTTCACAGCAAGCTAGCCTTGCAGTTCTTCTGAAACCCTCCACCTCCCCAGCTCCACCTGTCAAGATCTGCTATGGGATTTATATGTGCTTATTCTTGAAGCAGCAGCATGTCTTACATGCTCAAAGCAGCATATCTGTGTATCTGCTGACAGTAGCAAGCCCATATTTGCTCTATAGCAGCAGTAGCGTGTGTAGCAGATCTAATCCACCAAGACCAAACACACTAACGTTTTCATATCCATTAACATGCTAATCAGATTAAAATAATTTTAAAATAAAAACAATTTAAAATAAAACACTTTAAAAAAAAGATTAAACATTTTATTTGTTTTCCTCCATGTCACGTGACTGTTAACCTACATCAGAGGACTGTTAACATGTTGTTCAATTATTGACATGCTAACTTCTTTGGGGGTACTTCAAGCTAATATTTTAGGTTTTATTTAAGGGGTTTGGCTTCAGTTTGGGAATCACTGATCTACACAAACAATAAGGGAAGAATTGGATTCTGAGTAGGCCTGTCACGATAGCAACTTTTTGTTGTGCGATATATTGCCCCAGAAATAATTGCGATAAGCGATATTATTGTCATTTTAAAGACCATTTTATGCCACTGAATATATAATCATAATGTAACAGCATAATAATGCAAGAAGGCCTACACACTTCCAAATGACTACAAACTTCTAATTTTTAAGAATTTTAATGGAAATTAAGTATCAAAATATTAGATACCTTAAAAACCTGAATAAATAGTAAATAAACAAGTGCAAAGTAACGAGTAGAAAAAAAAATGCACAAAGAACTTGTATGGAGATTTTTCCATCTACAGATTTGTCCCTGACCTTCCTTTCTCTGTAAATTAAGGGTGCACACTATTGCTGAAAAACACAATCACTACTCAGCAGTCAGATGTCCGTATGCACACAGGCACAGCTCCCTAAACAAGGCCATATCTGCAGATTTTGTAGAAGCATTTTTTTTATTTGAACCAGCACCTCATGACTACACCACTTTATGTACAAGAAGCTGCAAAAGACACAGGTGCAAGTGGAATGTAAAAAACATGGTGACATTCATTTTTAAGTAAATATAATGGGCGATATATTGCGTCACCAAAAATGATTGAGGTCATGTACATATATTGCGCGATAAGTCAATATATTGATTATTGCGACAGGCCTAATTCTGCATTTAATGCTTGAGTTTATATCTAGGGAACAAATCCTCAAAGTATGAAAAGTAGTAAGAGATTACGGCATGCATCGTATTGTTGCATAAAGCTTGTGTTAAAAAATCCCAGAGGTCTTTTGTTTGAACAATACATAAATGAAGTTCTGCAGTATCTATTTCCATAATACACAGTCTATATATAGGCCATACTTCTGCAACTGTAATATCTGAAACATGATTCTGGGAGGTCTTTTTGCCCCTCTGTGTGTATGTATGTGTATTTATGGGTCTCTGGGGGGCCATGCTTCTGTTTTTGGCAATAGTGTTTTTATGTGAGCCTTAAACTGTCCCAGATGCTTGGCAGTGTGATGGCACTTTAAAATGGCAATTTTTTTGAGGGAATGAAGGAATGTTTGGGTGACCAAGGAGAACTGAGCAATGTTTGTAATGTGCATTTTCAACGCTTTATTCTCTTTTAGGGGTAGTTCACGAGGACGCTGGTATAAGTTTAACGACAATGTTGTTGAAGAGTTTGACATGAACGATGAGACTCTGGAGTACGAGTGTTTTGGAGGAGAGTACAGACCCAGAGTTTATGACCAGTGTAAGTTATTAATATTTCCTTAAACCAATGTAAATGAATGATGTCAAAAATACTGGAACTTCAGCACCAAGTTGATCAAATAAACTGACTGTAAAATCTTTCAACATGAACACAAAATGAGGCCTAAAAATCTGTTTATTTTTACTGTGGTAACCACGAACCATTATTCATGTTATTGACTGGTGACTTTTTTAAATTTATTTTGTTTGACTTAATATATAAAAAACATTGACACAGTACATCTTAGATGGATTAAATGTCACATTGTCATCGTCATTATCACTCATGGTGTTCATATTATTATATTAATAGTTTGCCACTGTGTTCACATGCTATAGCTAACCCCTACCCGGATGTGCGGCGGCGCTACTGGAACGCCTACATGCTGTTCTACCAGCGCATCAGTGACCAGAACTCCCCCGTCCTGCCCAAAAAGAGTCGAGTCAGCATCGTGAGGCAGGAGGCAGAGGATCTCTCACTGTGAGTTAGCATTTTACTTCCTCCATGAACATTGGAATATGAACTCTCTCATTAATGTTCATAATCCTTCACCTCAGGTCAGCTCCATCCTCTCCAGAGATCTCACCCCAATCCTCCCCACGGCCACCCCGAGCCAACAATGACCGCCTCACCCTGCTCACACGCTTGGTCAAGAAAGGAGAGAAGAAGGGTCTGTTTGTGGAAAAGATGCCTGCTAGGATCTATCAGGTAGAGATTTTAAGGCCTTTTCATGCATTGCAATTCCAATGTGACTAAAAGAAATGTTCCAGGTTGAGTGGATGTTAAGGTCTGACAACATCATGCTATACTATAACTATAATTATATTATTCATACAGCGTTTCAGACATTTTTGTTGTTTTCTCAAAAAGTTCACAAAAATTGACTTTTGGATCTGTATAGATGGTGAGAGATGAAAATCTGAAGTTCATGAAGAACAGAGACGTTTACAATAGTGATTACTTCAACTTCACACTGTCTCTGGCCTCTGTCAACGCGGTAAGCTCTGAGCATTCAGCCTCTTTTATAAGCACTTTATATTTCCTGCACACAAATTTGAGCTTTATACTGTTTTTCAGACGAAGTTAAAGCATCCATCGTATCAGGCCATGGCCAAAACCAGCCTGCAGCTGGCTGTCCAGTTCCTCTTCCACACTTATCTGCGCACTAAAAAGAAACTCAGGTTGGGATGATGCTTTAGTTTATAGGACTTTAAACTCAAGGCCTGTTCACACAGGGTTATTATTGGTAAACTATTACAAAGACAAGAACTAGTGGTGAAAATTATTATTATTTTTGTTTTTTTTATAATGACAAAATATATTCGTTGTATTATTATTCTAAATGTTTTTTTTATTTATTAGTTATAATTGATCATTTAAAATTAATTGCATTTGTAATGCACTGTAAATGTGCATAAAATATGAGCAATAACGTAAAATTAAAACAATAAAAATGACTTTAGACTTATCAGTGTATTTTTTCAATGTGGGAACTCTGACGTCTTCTCTCTCAGGGTGGACACAGAGGAGTGGATCGCTACCATGGAGGTTTTGTTGTCCAAGAGTAGTGAGGCGTGTCAGTGGATGGTCCAGTACCTGGTGGCACCTGAAGGACGGGAGATCATCAAGTGAGCAACATTATCTCTATCCCTCTACGCACACATTGGCAAATCCCCACTGGCTAGCAAAAAGTAAAACGAACCAGACTGTTGACACACAGACACAAAATATATATATATATATATATATATATATATATAATAAAAAATACAAATACAATAATATAGATAATGAAAAATAATATTAATAATAACAATAACTAATATTACTAATAATATAAAATGCACCGAATTCTGACAGAAAGCTGTGCTCAGACACAAAAAAAAAATATATATATATATAATAAAAAATACAAATACAATAATATAGATAATGAAAAATAATATTAATAATAACAATAACTAATATTACTAATAATATAAAATGCACCGAATTCTGACAGAAAGCTGTGCTCATGAATATTAATCACACTGTCTGTGTTCACTTGATTTGATTTGCTGAAATCAGGTGGATGTTATAGGTGAGTGCTAGTGAATGGGATTTCCACTTGTTAGTTCCACCAGCAGCTCTTAAAGGCTTCATTTTACATGATAGGCTAAAATAATTAATAATTCCAAAAAAATTGCTTCATTTTGACAAGAAAAAACAAAGGAAGACTCTTGCTATTGTATCTCTCTCTCTCTTGCTAATATCAGTCCGTTTGCACTCACAAAGTCAGAGAACACTGCAAATCAATTGATATCATTGGGAATAGTGTGTTGTAAAGACAGAGAGGGAAAATGCAACAATCTGAAGTCCAATTTGCTGCATTCTCACCTTCTTTAAATTTAGAACGGCTCTTTCCATGCCTCTGTTAAACACACCAAAAAGTATCTGACATGCAATATAACAAACCAAGTGGTATTTAAGTGTCCAAATATGTTTTAAGGCCACTTTACATTTGACTTATGTTAAATGTTCTGTTGTACTAGTTTCTACCTTAAGAAGTAAAAAAGAAATGAAAAGCCATTGACTGTCCCAGGAGACCATGAAGAATTAGATATCCCCTCACTCGCTAGTGCCCAGTTTCCCCAAAGCCACCTATCATTAACACCTGTGATTGTGTGGAGTGTAAGTGTATGGTCATAATCATATAACTGATAATCAATAGCATATGTGTGGGGTACGGCCACAGCTGCTTTCTGTCAACCAAAAATGTGGGCCAGTCGGGATGTTAATGTTTAAAGCATTTAAGCGTGATCTGGAGAAGCCTGCCATGTCAAAAGGTGCTCCGGATTGGGAGTAAGGGTGGGCGTAGTGCCCTGCTACATGATTGGCTGCTTCGTATCGGATGTTAGGGCTGCCCCAATTATCACGCAACACCTCAGCAGAAGCCAGGGAATGTTCCCGAATATTTTCTGATTGAGATCTGATTAACATTGTTAATGGGTGAATCTCGTTCTCTGTAGGATCTGTCTGTTGGAATGCAGTGTGCGGGAGGTCCGTGTCGTGGTGGCCACCATCCTGGAGAAGACCCTGGAGAGTGCTTTGTACTTCCAGGACGCTGGGTTAGACTGTCTTTTGGACATGCTGCTGTCTCTATTGGATAAGGATGTCCCGGATAACTGCAAGAACTGCTCTCAGTACTTCAGCCTCTTCAGTAACTTTGCTCAGAGGGTGAGAACGGTGATGTTACTCTTATGGGCATCAGACTGTATTTGTGAAGAAAGCTCATGCTGTTCATTTCCATAAAGAAAACAAATAGAAAGCTCCAAAAAAGCACCATAAAAGTAGCCCACACTTGACAACTGATATTCTGTCTTCTAAAGCCACTCTTAGGAGCTGAAGGAACAAATGTGAGTTATTCACTGATGATGTGTTTTAGGGCTGTGGGCCATGTCAGCTGCTGCTGAAACATTCTGCTTATCGTCGGATGCTTGTCTTCCTCCTGGGACCCAACCGGCAAAACAACCAGGTATTGCAGACGCTTTCTGTTAACACCTGACAAAGTGTTATTTGGCTTGAGGATATTGGGGTTTACTGCTTGCTTAAAGAGATAGTCCTTCCAAAAATGAACATTTTGTGATCATTTGCTCACCCTCATGTCATTCCAAACCTGTATGAGTTTCTTTTTTTCTGCGGAACACAAAAGAAGATAGTTTGAAGAATGTTGGTAACCAAACCGAGACTTGTTACCAACATTCTTCAAAATACTCCTTTTCTTTTGTTCCACAGAACAAAACTAAGTCAAACAGGTTTGGAATGACGTGAGGGTGCGTAAATGATAACAGAGCTTTCATATTTGGGTGAACTGTCCCTTTAGGTGTTCATCTCTGTGTTAATGACGTTCTGCTGGTTCTGCGTTTCAGCACCGGCGCTGGAGTTCAGCACAGGCTCGTGAGTTCCTGCATCTTCACAACACTCTGGCCCTGATCGTGCTGCACACAGACCTCACGTCTCAAAGGACAGAGTGTAAGAACACACGATTTCTGGACACACACCAAAGTTATTATCATTAACGAAAACTATTACGAGGGCGTAAAAACGTAATGACTAAAAAAAAAAATGGAAATAAAATACTAATGTGCACTAAAAAGAAAATACTTTTTAATACATTTTAAAATGTAGATGTTTTTTTTTTCTTATTTTCAAAAAACTTTCATCTCTCCATCCATCTCTCTCTCTCACTCTCTCTCAGAATGGCCATATTTGAGAAAAAAAGTGGTTGTCGGTCATTTAACATTTCTGTCATAAAACAGTTGACTAATATAAAATTTCTATCTTACCTGGCTCTCTTTCAACATTAAATTGACGCTTCCCGCTGGAATTCGCGCTCTGCTTCTGTGAACCGTGAACTCCGCCTACTTTGATTTGGTTGGCCATCTGAATTATTTTGACATTGGCGAGCGCTGTTAGACTGCTGAGGCAGACCAGGCTGAAAATGTAACTTTTAAAGCTTTTTGTCATCCTAACAAGAGCACTGCATAATGGAGGAGTGGGGGGGACTTATCGGTATGAGGTAACACTGGGGTGTTAATGCACTTCTCATGTGTGTTCAGCTCAAGGAGTGTTCAAGCACGCTTCATCAGGACTGGTGGCTCCATCTTCACCCCTCCTGCCTCTACATCCAGACATTAACACGTTGCTCTTCAAAGCAGAAGGGCAGGTGTATCTCATGGAGGTAATGCTGTCTCTTATTCTCTATCTCCTGTCTCTGTTTGTCTGTACTGCACACTACTGACTGAGACATGTCTTTCAGGTGATGTTTGCCATGCGTGAGTTGTCCGGCCCATTGTCGTTTCTCATAGAGATGATCACATATTGCTCGTTCTGTAACGAACCTTTCTCACTGGGAGTCCTACACTTACTCAAGGTCGGTACACTGACTAGTTTAAACCTTTTAATTGATAATAAATCAAATAAATAATTTATATATGTAATTTATTCATATTTATAATTTATTATTTTTATTGTACATATTATTTATAGAAAAATATATTGTTGTATGTATATTGTGTAATGAGAAGTAATACCATATATACATAAATATACAAACCTGAAGTAATCTCTGCAGGAAAGTAGTTGTTGAGCTGATCCCTGCCTGTTTTTACAAAATAAGCAAACCTACTACAATCTTCCTTATGACATGTTCATGTGACTTGTAGAACCATCTGGAAACGGCTCCTCCTCACGAACTGAAGAACGTCTTTCAGATGCTCCTAGAGATCCTGGTGAGTGATGACCGTGTGCTGTCTTCAAAACAGTTTTTGTGTAGGATATAATGATGTAACGCCCTTATTTTCTTATTTTCTCCTCTCAGATGGTAGAGGACCCTCTGCAGTCTCAGAGGCTCAAATATGCATTTGAATCTGAAAAGGGCCTTCTGGGTAAGAACCATATAATTTGGCTCTATCAGTGTGAGTAGTTGTAAGATTCAATTAATGTGTACTAATATGTGATTCTCGTTCTTTCACAGCTTTGATGCATCAGAGCAACAATGTGGACAGCAGTCGCTGCTATCAGTGTGTGAAGTTCCTGGTCACACTGGCACAGAAGTGAGTGTAGAACACGGGGATCAAATTAGGGATGCACAATATGGATATTGACATAATTGAATGTAATTGTATATAATACAATTGTGTGTTAGGTATATATGGTTATATGGTATATAGGTTATTGGCCAATATTTGATTGATAGATAGATAGACAGACAGAGACAGACACATACTGGTAAAAAATGTATAGCCTGAATGCTCTAAGTCGCTTTGGATAAAAGCGTCTGCTAAATGCATAAATTATTATTATAGATAGATAGAAAAATGTCTACAGTTTTTCTTTTCTTTTTTTTTAAACAATAATTCCATATGATGTGAAATCACGAAAAACAAAATGAATTAATGTACAGTAGAAAAGATAACTATTTAGTAAATGACTATTTGAATCTGAATAAATGACGTCTAATATTGTCTGCTTCCATTATTTGCCTAATAATTATGGCTGATACTATTATGGTCAGCGATAAATTATGCATTCTTAGATCTAATGTGATTAATTAACTGTCAAGTGTTTCTGGCAGCATTGTGAAATGTCTTTGTGTTTCTGTTAGATGTTCTCCAGCTAAGGACTATTTTAAAGAGCTCTCAGGACATTGGAGTTGGGCAGTGCAGTGGCTTCAGAAGAAGGCAAGAGACCACAGATACACACACACACACACACACTCCAGTACTTCTTTGTTGTGAAATAGCATCCATTATTGAATTCCCCTTCTCTCCTCTTTCAGATGTCTGAGCACTACTGGACGCCTCAGAGTAACGTATCGAATGAGACGTCCACGGCTAAAACCTTCCAGCGCACCATCTCAGCACAGGTATGGCACTCACACTTTTTTACTTTATACATAACCAGAATAAACTCATTATGTATTTCTCAAACTTGAAATTTCAACTTTACAATTTAAAGTTGAAAACTTTTGTGAAAGGTTTTTCTTCTGAAAGCTCCGAGCTCCCACTGACTGATTTGATGTAAAATGATTGAAATGCTGGGACAAATTTTTTTTTCCCCATCTGCTATTTATATTTTACTTCATTTCAGCTTTATTTCAATTACTAAACACTATTTTGAGTAGTTATAGTTCACGGCACTTTTAGGGAAAACTTCAGTTTGAATCCAAAATATATTTTCCTCTCTTTCTTTCCCTCTCCCTCACTTTTGTACATCCTTCATGTTTTGCTTTCCTTTGAGATGAAATAAAAACAACACAAAAATGCTAATTTAAGCTCATTTCAAAGTTTAAGCTAAGTACAGTTACATTTTCTACTGATTAAAATTATTTTAAGCTTGTATTTGATCTTAAAATGTATATCTTTTAAAATAAATAAATAAATACTAGTGCTGTCAAATGATTAACCGCGATTAATCGCATCCAAAATAAAAGTTTTTGTTTACATAATATATGTGTGTACTGTGTATATTTATTATGTATATATAAATACACACACATACAGTATATATTTTGAAAATATTTACATGTATATGCATATATATATTTACTGTATATTCTTATATTTTATATTAAATATAAATATATTTCATATATAAACATAACATATTTTTCTTAATTATATGCATGCATGTGTTTGTATTTATATATACTTAATAAATATACACAGTATACACACATATATTATGTAAACAAAAACTTTTATTTTAGATGCGAGTAATCGCGATTAATCGTTTGACAGCAATAATAAATACATATGATTTACTTGGAGCTAACACAGGAGATTTTGCTAGCCACCCATTTTAGGAGTCATTAGGAGTGCATGTGAACTGCTGAATGAAGTTCAGTGAATGCTGTTTTTTGTGTTTAGGACACTCTAGCTTATGCCACAGCTTTACTGAATGAGAAGGAGCAGTCCGGCAGCAGTAATGGTTCAGACGGCAGCCCGGCCAATGAGAACTCAGACAGAAGCCTCAGACAGGTAGTAGAGCTCTGTCTGTCATTAATTCAGTTATATCATAAAACAGTGTCAACAGCGATATGATAAAATACACTAGTGTTTAATAAATAATGACATTTACTGTTTCGACATTTCTCCCTCTCTTTCTCTCAGGGATCCGAATCCCCAATGATGTTGGGTGATTCTCGAAGTGATCTAGAAGATGTGGATCCGTAACGCTTCTCATTGTTTTTGCGCATCAAAACAACACAAAAAAGTTACCCTCCGACGGAAAGATGTGGCTCTAAACAGACAATCAGAAAACTGCATTTGTTCTTCTAGGGACTGGAAATGGAGCGACCTGAAGCAGCCAAAGGCCCCGTCGGAGCGCTCGCTCCTCAGGCCGCCTCACCTGAGAAGTAAACAGAGGCGAATATCGCTTTTTTTTTTTTTTTCTCTCTCTCTCTCTCTCTTCTGGTGGTCGAAGCCTGGCTGGATGTAATTAGAGTTCAGGTCATGCAAGTGATTTAGATGTTTCTTCTGACTTGAGTTCTGTCAGACGAGTGAGACTTAATAAAAACGGAGGCGTTTGTTTCCTTGACGTTTTTACGCCGAACTACTACTATGGTGCCAGACAGGGCGTTTTAAAAGAAGTCAGCGTATATTTGCCAATGTAATTAAGTAGATACTATTCATGAGAAATGTAAAGATGTGTTCCATAAGTGTAATTTCAAATGTAAAATAATATTTTTAAGAATCCTTTACTGATTCCTTTTTTTTTTTTTTTTTTTTTTTGGTTTTTTTTGAGAGGGGCCTCAAATTTATTCGAAAAAAAGAGGAACTTGCCAAGTCTCTGAGAGTCAAATAGTCACACCGTTTTTCCCTTCTCTTTCTTGCTGGTATTTTTTAAAATGCACTTTAAATTTGAATTCAATTTGAGACTAATTCATCACGTGGAGACAATTGGACGGATGTCCTTCGCTGCTCTCTGTCCATCGATTTCTTGGATTGGAACAGCGTGCAGCAAAAGACACAAGCTGTTTGCAGTGCTATACAAAATATGATGGCGGACTGACCTTACAGCGGAAGACATATTGCATCAGCAGATGCGTCTGACGACACATATGCAACACGCAGAGACGCTACTGTCCAACAAGCTTTTTTTCTTCCTGAAAGACAATGAGTGCTACAATCAGCAGAGTTTGTCATTGAGAAACTGTCTCACTCTTTCATTTCATCTGTTTTGATGTTGTCTTGTGCCGCTCTGGTATGAAGGTCTAGGGACGTGAAGACACTTTTCAGGGTTAATTTAGCCAAATTTGTCTCTTTTTTTTGTTTGTTTGTTTGTTTCTTTGCCTGCATCTTTTGTGTTCAGTCTGCCTTACGCAATGCAAAACGAATGACAAGGCGAGGATGGGGTGGAAAGTGGTCAAAGGGGGAGGGGGAGAGAAAGACGAAGGTTGTTGGAGGGACCGGAAAGTTCTCACAGAGTAGTAAAGTGCCTTTACTCGACTCCTCCCCTACGCCGCTCACGTCCTCGCCTTGAGACAAACCAGTGGACACGTTGTGCTATACAAATGCCTGAACCCACTCAACATTACGCTAACAACGCACACACATATACTCGGATGGCTCGGCTGAGCTCATCTCAAAGCGCCATATGAGGACACAGATGGCGCCTCGTGCGTCACGGCCCCTTGTTTGAGCCGGGCCTGTGATGTCCCTCTTTCAGGTAGTCTGCAGGGTGTTTCAGCTGCCGTTTGCTGCTCATTTTGTATTTAGACTTGAACACTTAGTGACATTGCTTCAATGTTTACAGCGGAAAGACCTCAATGCCACCTCACACAAAAGTTAGTGCTGCTTTTTACCTCACAGTCATCTGCTCTTCGCAACTTTCACATTGACGCTTTTTTTGCCACGCTTCTGTGCATGTTTGTATGTGTGAGAGACTTTGTTTCTGGAAAAAAACTGCATAAACTGGCCAAAGAAGCTGGTTTATAAAGTAAATCTTAAACCAGCCTAGGTGCATTTGCTGGTCTATGCTGGTCTCTCAGCCCAGCTAAGTTGTGTTTAGGTGGTTAAGTGTCCAAAAACCATTTAGTACCAGCCAACAGACCAGCCTGAGCAGGCTGGAAGAGCAACTAAGAGAAGCAAACCAGCCTAGACTGGTTTAAGATGATGGAGCCAGCCGACTTAGCTGGTTTTGGGCACATAAACTCTAGATTGGTCAGGCTGGGAGACCAGGTAAAATCAGCACACCATCTTAAACTGGTTTAACATCTTTTAACAACATTGAGGCTTGGACACATAACCTCAAGATTGCTTAGGCAGGGAAGCCAGATAAAACCAGCACACTATTTTAAACTGGTTTAACATGTTTGTTTGTTTGCTTGTTTGTTTCAAAAGGGCCAGCCTGGCTTGCTGGTTTTAGAGTGGTTTGGGGCACTTAAACACAAGGTTGCCCAGACTAGGAGACCAGGTAAAACCAGCACACCATCTTGAGCTGGTTTATCATGTTTTTTTTTTTTTTCAACAGGCCAGCCTGATTTGCTGGTTTTAGAGTGATATTGGTACTTAAACTAAAGATTGCTCAGGCTGGGAGACTAGGTAAAACCAGCACAGCATCTTGAGCTGGTTTAATGGGTTTTCTTTCAACAGGCCAGCCTGGTTTGCTGGTTTTAAGAGTGATTTTGGTACTTAAACTCAAGATTGCTCAGGCTGGGAGACCAGGTAAAACCAGCACACCATCTTGAGCTGGTTCAACATGTTTGTTTTTTCAACATGGCCAGCCTGGTTTGCTAGTATTAGAGTAGCTTGAGGCACTGAAACTCAAGATTGATCATGCTGAAGGCCTGGTAAAACCAGCAAACCCGTTAAGGCTTGTTTAAGCAGTTTTTTTCAGTAGGGTCTTTGACTTTTTGTTTCGTTCTCATGGTTTTGGCCTCTAATAGTCAGCAAAACACCGCAGTACTCGCAACTGCCTTTATGCTTTGAATCAGTAAATGGTTCATTGCTAATGGAGGATTATTTTTAAACGTTTCAGGGCTGAAGGCACAGTGCTCAGTTACAATTGAGGGGAGAATTAATCAGATCAATGCCTAAACACAAGGCATCTTTCTTATTTTGCTGAAATATGCACATTTGCAAAGATAACACACTAATTTCAGCTCAACTGCCTGCTTAGGTTTTCACTAAAGGAGCCCGTAAAATACAGTGGGATTACAGTATATACTCAGTGCTGTAGAGTCTTATTTGAAATATGGTGTACTTGAGTGAACAGGGTGTTAAAACTATCAACAAATCTGATCCTCCTCCCTCCAATCAATCTTTTTTAACCTTTCCTACACCTGTAGATGCTGTACCAACCACTCGGTGGATCTGTGATTTCATTTCTGCTGCGAGTGTGTATGATGTGTAAAGGAATCAGTTAATGCATGTTAAAACCACATTTTAATTTGTACATCAGAGTTTGACAATGAAAACATTTGATATAAAAAAGGAAAAACTGGAATGCACAACTTTTCAGACTGTGTGATTTTGTATGCGTCAAGTCTGAAGTTGATTTTAGACCATTACATGAAGTTGTCAAAGTTTGTAGTATAAAAATATACATTTATAAAAAAGAATTACACTCTTATACACAGTGCACATGCGTAATAGTAGATAACGCTCTTGCCAAAAATTGTGAAAATATCTTTTTCTTTTTTTAAATTCAGAATAGGTGTAAATATCAAAATGAAAAGTGCTGGTCTAAATACAGTCAAAGCATTGGAACATTTTAAATATATTGGCTTATATTGTTTATTTCACACACGCAGCTGTCGTTAGCTGTCATCAAATGCTCGCTTTACCACTGTTAAATGTCATTTTTAGCAAATCTCAAAATGAAATTTATTTTAATTTTCAGTGTTTTTTATTATTATTTAAATAAAATAGTATAGCATTTTCATAGCCGTAACATAAAAATTATTATCGTCAGAATTCTAATATTAATGCACTGATGCATGTTTCGCAGTTTAAAGGCCATTCAAAGTGTTTTAAGTGTTATAGTGCCACTTGTTGAGTGTCTAGATTGGATTTAGTTATATACAGAACTGGTTACAGTGCACTTCTCTGTCGTGTAATATTGCATAGTGACAGAACTGAGCTTAACTGTGTAACACCTCCTACTGTTATATGTGTTATAGAAGTCATGTACATGGTTACGTATTTAGAGAAGTGACAAAAGAGGCACGCATATCCCTCAGTGGTCAGATGGCTGGTGGGACGGGCGGTGCCTGCAGCAGGTGGCGATGGCGGCAGTCCCTTTATCTCCTCCAGATGTATGAACTACACAGGTGTTTCCCAAAGCAAATGCCCCACAAACACCAGAACCATGCGACAGACCCTGACAGCCTGTCAGTGTCCACGAGTCCTCACATGAAACCTCCACCTGAAAGAAATGATGCAGGTTAGTGCTGCTCAGTGATCAGATACACCAAATCAAGTTTAAACTGCAACTGTTATAAATGTTAAAAGCTGTGCATTAGTTTTTATTTTTGAGTCAATGGAAATTTCTTGTGAGAGTAAGTCACCTGCTCACTGAGACCCGTGGGGTCGTGTTCTTTCAGCCGGCATTCCAGAGAGGATGTGTGGCAGCAGGATGCGTATGACATTTCACCCCTTTTAGCAGGACATGCCCCGCGGCTGCCATGTGGAGGTCGATCAGAGTCTGATACATCTCCAGATGAAGAGGAAGAACTGCAGCCTGCAGGAAAAGATGACGTCATGAAGTTAAGCATAGAGAACTCAATTCAAATTCATTTTCAGCTGCAGCGACAACAGAAACTTCACACATTAAGTGAATTAAAGGAATAGGTCACCCAAAAATGAAAATGTACTCACCCTCAGACCATCTAAGATTTAGATTAGTTTGTTTCTTCCAACTGGAGAAATTTAGCATTACAACAATTGCTCACCAATTGATCCTCTGCAGTGAATGGGTGCCGTCAGAATAAGAGTCCAAACAGCTGACAAAAACATCACAATAATCCGCACGACCCCAGTCCCTCAATTAGCATATTGTGAAGCGGAATTGTAAGAAACAAATATGTCACACATATCTCTATTGATAATAATGCTCCAGTGAAAAGTCGTCTCGTCTGAATCAGGAGAGAAATATGTTGTGAAAACAGTCCAAAACAGATGGACCTCTTCACTGAATGAAGCATTATTACACGTTTTAGACTTGTAGGCTATTTCGGCCAGAAGTGATGGTTTAAAGTTAAAACGTCCTAATGATAGATTTGTCTCTTAAAAATATACAGCTTTTCGCTTCACGAGATGTTAATTGATGGACTGTAGTGGTGTGGATTACTTGTGGTTTATTCTGATGTTTTTATCAGCTGTTTGGACTCTCATTCTGACGGCACCTATTCACTGCAGAGGATCCATTGCTGAGCAAATGATGTACTGCTAAATTTCTCCAAATCTGTTTGGATGAAGAAACAAACTCATCTACATCTACAACCTCTAGCCTGAGGTTGTGTACATTGTAATTTTTGTGTGAACTATTTCAAAATAAAAGCTCAATAAAAAGCTCACAAGAAATAAAAAGGTATTAAAATGTCCAAATAAAATTATTTTATTAATATTATGAACCATATCTTTGTTTATTAATAACAGATTTTTTTTTATAAAATAACTTTTTTAGATACATTTTCATATTATTGTCTGGTAATTGACCAAAAGCCAACAGACTTTAGCTTCCACTGAACCCAGAACATTCCATTAATTAATGATAATTAAAAAAAAGAACGCTGCAGTGTGAAACCATCTGTCACCTGTCAGCTGGTGGTCTGGAGGACATTCTGCAACCTCGCCTCTCTTGGGACTCTCTAACATCTGGCACTGAGCTTTATGGCCTGTGCAGCAGCGCGCTACAGCGAACACACCATGCCCTCCATTCCCATTGACAGCAACACACTCTTTCTGCCCATCTCTCTCCTGTCAGAAAGGAAATTACTTTGGTAAGCAAAAACTTCATTTACATTAGGTTGACAATTAAAACATTTATATTTTTTGAGCAATCAAAACAAACTTTCTCTGCTACTCACCTCCACTCTTTCTCCAGCTCTTGCTCCATTTTGTGAGAAACTGGAGCAGCTCAGCATCTCTTCACCGTGGCGACAGCGGGCTGTAGTTGTGGCCAAACCTTTAACAGCTGACCTCTCAGACCAAACGGATCTACAAAGCAGATCCTCTCCTGTAAGAGAACACACATGCAGAGTTAAAATGACCTTACTGGTTACCAATATGTTTTGGACATTGTTAATACTGTTTAAAGTTTACTTGCAAAAATAACCAACTAAACTAGCTTGTGCCAGTAACAGACTACCTAAAACCATTTAAGACTATTTTGGAAGTTAAACCATTCCAGGGAAGAATAAAATGCTATTCATCATACAATTGTATGTACAGTATGTTATAATTAAAGTCACTAATAAATACACAATTAGTATGCAAATAGTAAAGTAAAACAATAAATATTATTCATATTAATAACAAATATTTATAAGATTATTATATTAAATTATAAACCGTTTTCTAAACAGTACTAAAGTTTAATATTATTAAATATTAATAAGGTTTATATTATCTATAAATTCATTGCAGTCTGCTAATTACTTTAAAATAAATTAATATTTTATTTAATATTACATATTGGTTATTTCTGGTCCACGAATCTGATTGGCTGATAAGAGTGCAATAACAGGGTGTGTTCACATTTGTAGTTCGGTTCTCTTGTTTGTTTGGTCCAGAACAAAAAAGAAAAGGATACATTTGGTTCTGGACTACTGAGCGTTCACACTGGCATTTTTGACAGCGAACCTAAAGATACTGAACCTAAAGGCATAATGATACATTCACAACCTGATTGGTCGGGTTAAATTATGTATATTTAGCGATGGAACTCACCGAACACCCCAAACAAAAGCTGTGTTCGACTTAAAGCGGCGATGCACAGACCAAAAGGTATGACATCAAAGTACCCATTCACAGATCGGTCTGCTCAGCGCCGCTTTAAGCCGAACACACCTAATGCCGACTGCTGGACTAAGCGCGCTCATTTCTGCATGTACTTATGATTTTATTTTCACCTCCTGTGAACTCACGAAGAGCTCATAAAAGGCACTTTACCTCCTCATTACTCCACGTTTGCCCTCTGCTCATTTTGTTTTGGATACACCACTCGTTCCGCGTCATCAAATCATGTCGTATAGCGTCGCATATTGTCATTACTTCCTGATTTTGGTTAGTTTAGAAGTATTTGGTCCGTGTTGCATTCATATTTCTTTCGAACCGCACCAGAGTTTGTTTGGAAGCGGACCAAGACCCATCCTTTTAGCGGTCTCGGTCCGCTTGTTTGGTGCGCACCAGGGTTCAGATGGAAGCGTTCACACTTACTCAAATGAACCGCACTAACAGAGCAATCGCACCAGGGTTCGTTTTAATCTAACTAAACAGAACTCCTGAACAGAGTGATAACAGAACTCCTTCAACCATTTCACCGTTTGTATCCCTCCGCTTGCCGTATTTCTCACAGCGAGTGTCATGGCGGATGACCAAATCCACTATAATTTTTAGTGTCACAGAATGTAGTTTTAAGAGTTTTTTTTAGACGAGAATGTACTTGTTTAGACTTCAAATATGCAGTTTGTTAATAAAGATAATGTCTATTTGAAAATTAGCTTTAACGTTTTCGGAGATGTGAGCTCCATGGCATCAGCGGCCATTCAGCGCTCATGAACCCACAGAGAGCAGCCTCACCTCGGCCAGATCTTCTGGAATTTGCCGCTGGCTCTGATGTCTCTATAGTGGTTAAACATGAGATATATTTTGTTTTGCGTAATTCTAACGGCCAGTCTTTGGTCTCATTAATCTATTGTTTGTTCCAGAGCAAATATTTTTGGCTGAGGGCAAAGTCTCATCACGTTCCCTATCAAGTTTGGTCTCTCGACACTGCATAGCTTATGCTTGGGGGTTATCCTGTACAGGATTTGGGTCGTGATTGGTCATCCCTCGAGTAACCAGCCAAGAACAGGTTGGACATGCAGTATCTACGGTCGGGCCGCCAGGTTGCCGCCCCCAGAGACCCGCTCCGTTTTTCCCTGAGGTCCACGAGGAGATCTCGCAATTTCCTGGTTCCCAAGAAGGACCGGGGTCATCGCCCTATTCTGGATTTGAGACTGCTGAACCGTGCACTAGCAAAGCGCTCGTTCAAGATGATAACAGTGAAACAGATCCTCGCGCACATTCAGCCCGGGGACTGGTTTATCTCGGTGGACTTAAGAGACGCCTATTTTCACATCCAAATAGCCCCTCGTCTCAGGCGCTTTCTGAGATTCGCGTTCGAGGACAGAGCTTATCAGTTCAAAGTTCTCCTGTTCTGGTTGGTGTTGACTCCGAGAACTTTTACGAAGTGTATAAATGCAGCGCTTTCCCCTCTCAGGCAGAGTGGAATTCGCATTCTGAATTATCTGGATGACTGGCTCGTTATTGCTCAGTCGCGGGATACACTGGAAAACCACAGATGCCAACTTCTAAAACATCTGAAGCATCTAGGACTGACGATCAATGTGCAGAAAAGCTAGCTTCGCCCCACGCAGACCATCACATTCTTGGGAATGGATTTGGACTCGCAATCAATGAGAGCGCGTCTCTCAAGAGCGAATACAGTCTTTGGTCAGCGCTCTCACCTCATTCAAACCGAGGAGAGTGGTGATTCTAAAATGCTTTCAGAGACTGTTAGGCAAAGCAAGGCAAGTTTATTTATATAGCACATTTCATACACAATGGTAATTCAAAGTGCTTTACATAAAAGAAAATAAAAAAATAATCACAACAATAAAACAAGGAATTTAATTAAAAAACTTTGAAAATGATTAAAAATATTGCATTGTTATAAATTTATTGCTGATTACAGTATTAAAATCGTCATCACACTGTATTTTCAGTCCAGACTACTACTGACGTTGCTCATCAAGCCACAATGTTGAGTCATTTAAATTAATTCCTTGTGAAATCTGACCTATGAGTGTGGAGGTCGAGTCGGGCAGGGTGGCCACCATGTTGGGTGTAGTGAGACGGTGGTTCAGTGGCAGAGACTCTGGATTAATGATCTGTCTCACTGAATGATGGAGGAGCTGCTGCAGAAGCTCAGCAGAGCTGGAGTTTGGACTCAGATTCAGGAGCACCGCTGCTATACCTGAAAAAGCGCACAGACCACAGCTGTTGTATGGACAGAGTGATAAAATAAAATGTCATAGTTTTGGCATGTGTGTGCTAACCAGCAACATGTGCCGCTGCCTGTGATGTTCCGCTCTTGGTGGTGAAGCAGGTGGAGCAATCGCTGGAAGCACTGATGATGTCATCACCAGGTGCGAACACATCCACGCAGCGGCCCACATTGGTGCCTGTCGTCCCAGTGCTCAAGGGCTGGTCAGCCAAATTAACGGCCCCTACTGTTATCACCTGCAGCGGTGGACCAAATGATGTAAAAATGAATATATTGACAAGCAATTGCTTTTCTGAAGGATTCAATCCATTGTACCTCTGGCTCTGAGGCTGGTGAGTACAGACAAGCATCATCGTTGTAGTTACCAGCTGCAGCAATAAGCACTGTGTCAGATTCCACCATTTTCCTGCAGGCAGTGTTGAGTGTGCGACTGAATCCCCCTACAAATGGCAGCAGTACGATCACAGGTCTGATAGGCTGAGACATCAGAGATGACTGGATATACTCCAGACCTGCAACAGAGTTGGGTCAATTAATGCAAATTCTGCAGAGATATTCTGAAGGATGGTTAATATAAAATGTAAAATATGTCAGTACTATATGCCTTCTTTATTAGGTACACCTGTTCAATGCTTTTTAACGTAAATATCTAATCAGCCAATCTAATGGCAGCAACTCGATGCATTTAGGCATGTAGACATGGTCAAGATGATCTGCTGAAGTTCAATCCAAGCATCAATGGGGAAGAAAGGTGATTTAAGTCTCTTTGAACATTGCATGGTTGTTGGTGCCAGACTAGCTGGTCTGAGTATTTCAGAAACTGCAGATCTACTGGGATCTATAGGGTTTGCAGAGAATGCTCTAAAAAAGAGGAACCGAGATACACAGAAGAGCATCTCTGAACGCACAACACCTTGAACCTTCAAGCAGATGGGCTATAGCAGCAGAAGACCACAGCAGGTGCCACTCCTGTCAACGAAGAACAGGAAACTGAGGCGACAATTCGCACAGGATCACCAAAATTGGACCATAAAAGACTGGAAAAAGGTTGCCTGGTCTGATGAGTCCCAATTTCAGCTGCGACATTCGGATGGTAGGATCATAATTTTGCGCAAACAACATGAAAGCATGGATCCATCCTGCCTTAAGTTGTATCAACAATTCAGGCTGGTGGTGCTGGTGTAATGTGTGGGATATTTTCACACTTCGGGCCCCTTAGTACAAACTGCACTGTTTCAATGCCACAGCCTACCTGAGTATTATTGCTGACCATGTCCATCCCTTTATGACTACAGTGTACCCATCTTGTGACGGGTACCCATCATGGATGTGAATCTCACATGTGGATGTGAATCTGCTGCAAATTTGTTGACTGAAAGTATGAAATCTGAGATTCACATGTGGATGTGAAATGTCAATATGAACCCAAATCTCTGAGAAATGTTTCCAGCACGTTGTTGAATCTGTGCCATGAAGAATTAAGGCAGTTCTGAAGTACTAACAAGATGTACATCATAAAGTGGCCAGTTTGTGTGTGTACATATACATACATACATATATATTATCTACTTTATCTTAAAACATGTAGATCATTTTAAATAGAAATTTTATATAAAAATAAAAAAAATTCTAAATTAATAAAATAATTATATATTATATTAATAATTATTATATAGTTTAATAAAATTTTATGTATATTAAATAGTTATATACAATTATTCATGTTTTGGTTTACCTGCCAAAGCTCCTGACACGGTACCCTTGCCTTGGCAGTTTAACACTCGGACACTGTTTACACTGGCACCTCGAGCTACACCTGAGTCCCGTCCACTGACCACACCTGCTGTGTGTGTGCCATGACTGTCACACTGACTAGCCTGTGGGCAGAAGACCGCAGGGAGTGATGGACATATGCTTCTCATTAGCTATAAAAACTTTTTTTTTTACATTCAACTACCTGTCTGTGAACTCTGACCCCATCCTCCTCTGGCACACTGTTGAAGTCCGTCACCATCACCCTGTCCTCAATCTCACGATGAGTCACTTGAACACTTGTGTCCAAAAGATACACTCCTACCTTTGCTCCGTCATCTGAATAGACAAGTATTACAGCTCAACAGGTCAAGTACTTTATTACATGTAAAGAAAAGAAAAAACATTTACTGTGCAGAAGAAAACGCTTCAGACCATAATTTAAAGGGGTGGTTCATTGCGATTTCCCTTTTTTAACGTTAGATAGTGTCTAATGTTGTTTGAGCATAAACAATATCTGCAAAGTTACAAAGCGGAAAGTTCAATGCAAACAGAGATATCGTCTTTTTGAATTCTGGCCGTTTAATGCCTACAAAACCGGCTGGTAGGGACTACAACGAGCTACTTCCCGGGTTTGTGACATCACAAACCCAGATAAACCCCGCCCCCGGGAAAAGGCAGCAAAGGGGGCGAGGCCATGCTGCGCTGCTTTAGAGAAGAGGAAGAGAAAACTAGGGGTGCACGTAAAAATCTATTCATATATGAATCGCGATTCTGTCTTCTAACGATTCTAATGGATTCACAAGTTTCAAAATCAATGTTCTAAAGCAGCGGTTCTAATCCTGTTCCTCGTGTCGACCTGCTCTGCACACGCTCTCTCTCTCTCTCTCTCTCTCATTCAGCTCAGCTCCAACAATGAACTGTTACAATTACACACTTATTTTCACTGCATGATCCTCTTCAATAATATCCTCTGCTTCTCAATCGGGCTCAAACTGATAAGCGATATTAACGACGCCGTTGATTACAATACAACCGGAGCACATGCCACTGAGGTGAGGGGTGGGACGTTTAGACGCACGCTAGAGGCGGTTTAGCCAATCACAACACACTGGGCTAGCCAACCAATCAGAGCCCATCGCCTATTTCTGAGGGAGGGGCTTCATAAAAGAAGGAAATGATCAGCCCGTTTCTCAGAGAAGGGACAGAGAGGTGTGGAATAAAGGTAAATTATGTGAAAAATAATGCGTTTTTAAAAAAACGAAGCAATAACACGTTAAACACAATCAAGCCTAGAAAAAACCCAGTGAACCACCCCTTTAAGAAGTAAATAAGTGTTTGGGAAAAGGGGAAAAACTTTCTGGGTGGTGAGTATTTTCCAGTCTCATGTTTGTTTTGAAGGATGCGCTGCAGGTTCCATGGGATGCTCTGGGCAAAAATGGAGGAATCCTCTTCAATGTATTCCACATGGGGCAGCTTTACTGCCTGCCAAAAACAAAGGCAATGGAATGAAGAAGACAGGCAATGTGTAGTTTTAAGAATAATTGTAATTCCAGTACTTGTTTTCATTTTTTGTTTCAGTCCATCAGACAGTTCAAACATTATTAAATATACAATATGAAACTGCACACATTATTATGTAATAATGTTTGCAAATTACCATGTGAAGAACATCGCTGCTCATTTTCACCAGAAACCCGTGGAAAGCTCCCGAATAAGTCTGCAGTATTTCGATCAGATATCCGCGTTTGGCGGCTTTTGCGCGGAGTCTGCGCGCGGTGCGCTCCACCTGGTTCACGTGCGTTCCGTTCCGCATCACCACTATGTACTGACCCGGCATGCGCCATGCGTCCTGTGCGTAAAACACGTATGGCATTTGATTCACACTGGTTTTGATAACCTCCTCATTCCAGACGTTCCACGGGTACATCCCGTTTATTTTAGACTTTCTTGGAATATAGCAACACCGAGTGGTTCTACGCAACTAATAAAACATTTCAAAGTTTATTGGCAGTTACATAAAATGTAGCATGTGAAAATGACGCTCTTCGTGTCCGACATCAGGTGAAAAGTATGTTTTTGTTTTCTTTGAAACATCTTTTATTTTTATACTGTTATTTATTGTTGTGTGTGTGTGTGTGTGTGTTCAAAAGAAACCTTCATATATTCATATATAAATCATATATTATCTTTTGTAACACTGTTCTTAAAATATATTTTGAAACCCTTTCTAATAGGCCTATGAGATCACAAAATAGGAAGCTTATAAAAACAATACAAATTCTGAAGCTTTTCTTATGTAGGCTATAACTGCCCTAATATTATATAGCACTTTTTTACCCTAGCATATATATATATATATATATATATATATATACAGTGGGTACGCTGTGGTGGAAATGACACCAATACTGTGCAACAGCTATATTTTGTATAAAAAGTAATATTGATCGTGGTCTCACATTAAATACTATTATGTA